GTGTAGCCCTGGAACTCGATCTGTAGACCAGTCAGCCTGAAACTCACAGAGGTCCACCTGCCTCTGCCTCCGGAGTGATGGGATTAAAGGTGTGCGCCACCACTGTCAGGTATCTGCTCTCTGTTGAAGTATCCTTGGGCTTGTTTTTAATAAATCCCACCTTGCTTCTTAATGGCTGTACCCAAAATTATTTCCTATGTTGAAGGTACAAATCTCAGGTTTTTTTCCAAATTGAAAGAGAACTTATCAAGCCACTGGAGAGAAGGTATTGGAGCCTTGACCCAGTCCCTACTGTTGGACACATAGAGCAGTAATATTCTAAAGTACCATGTTTACTAATTCTGGCAAAGCTCTCTGCCTCCTCATGCCCTCTCCCCTGCTCTTGAAGATAAGCCAGAGCTTGTAGTTGGATATGAGATAACCACACTAACCGGTGAGGCCAGTGAGGATGGCAAACTGCTCCCTCCCCACCAGAAGCCCTTGAGGCTAGGTAAGGCACAGTTGTCCTTTCATGCATTTTCACTTCTAGTGCAGCTAATTATACTATAACCTCCATCTTGTTCTGGAAGGAGGCCCCAGATCATCCTACAATGAGTTAACTAAAAATAGCTATGACTAATTACCAGCATCTGTGAGAACAGAGAGCTTGGAATAAGAAACAGGGGTGGCAATCACTTCTACCCTGGTGGTCAGGACACCAGACAAGGAGCTCTTTTTTGGGGGGGGGGAGTAATTTCCTCCTTTCTTTTTTTAAATTTACTATTTTTCTTATTTTACATATCAATCCCACTTCCCTCTCCCTCCCATGTGGTGAGATATTCACTTTGTCTGCTTCTGTGGCACTGACCACGCCCACTGGGGGGTGGAGCCAGGGGCGGAAGTAACCTGGGGAACTAGGTGTCAGAGGAGCCTGGGAGCGGTCTCTTGCTGTCTGGACGTGGAGAGGAGAACATCCAGTGGAACCTGCTTGTGTTCATCTGTCTAGATTGTAAGTTATTTCTCCCTGAATAAATATCTGTTTGACCTATTTGTTTATCATGATCTTATTAAACCACGATATCTCGTGTCAGAAGCGGGATCAGGATTTTTATGGGACCTGGGTTTCACCCAGTCGGCAGATGCCATTCCCTGCCCCCACCTTGAGCACTGATTTGGACATGGGGTCCTTTGTGCTTGCAGGAGACAAATATAAAAGACTGCTGAACCTTGCCAAGTCAGGGTAAGACAGCCTTTCTATTTCCCTGCTGTTGTTGTGGTCTGTCAAGTACTCTTGGCCTTAATCAAAACTGGGTGTACCAACATTGCTGTGAGACCTTGGGTGACTGTTCAGGTAGCCTGCTTTTTCTGTCCTTGCTGCAACTTTTGGAAGTTGCCCATCTGCACTTCCTGTCTACCCTAGTATTGTTATTTTCCTTCTCAGGTCTTGATGAGGTTGAAGATTTAACTATCACAACTATTATTCTCTCTTCCTAGTTAGATATGTTAGGTACTAGACTTAAGCTTTCCAGCTTAGGACAACTCTGTTGTAAACTCCGTAATGTCTTCACCCAAGGACTCAATATGTAGGTCATTTTGTTCTCAGTTTTCCTTTTCTTAGTGCACACTTGTTACTCACTGTTTTGTATGTAGTTTTGTATCAAGCCTAAATCTTTTCTTTAGACTAAAAGGGGAATTGTAGTGAGATATTCACTTTGTCTGCTTCTGTGGCACTGACCACACCCATTGGAGGATGGAGCCAGGGGCGGAAGTGACCTGGGGAACTAGGTCTCAGGAGGAGCCTAGGAGCGGTCTCTTGCTGTCTGGATGTGGAGAGGAGAGCATCCAGTGGAACCTGTTAGTGTTCATCTGTCTAGACTGTAAGTTATTTCTTCCTGAATAAATATCTGTTCGGCCTATTTGTTTATCCTGATCTTTATTAAACCACGATACTCCCATGCTGCCTGACCGCCCCCCCCCCCACCTCCTGTCACATTCCCTACCCATTCCAAAGGGAGGGTGATGCTTTCCAGGAAGGATCATCAAAATCTGTCAAGATATTTGGAGTGGGACTAGGCCCTCCTTCCTGTCTCTAGGCTAAGGGAGTATCCCTCCATGGGATATGTGATCCCAAAGTCCTTTCGTGCACCAGGGATACATTCTGGTTCCACTGTCAGAGGTTCCATAGACTGCCCAGGCCTTCTAACTGAGACCCACATTCAGGGGGTCTGAGTTGGTCCTATGCTGGTTCCCCAGGTATCAGTCTGGGGGCCCATTAGCTCCCCATTGTTCAGGTCAGCTGTCTCTGTGGGTTTCTGTAGCCTGGTCTTGATCCCTTTTCTTATCACTCCTCTCTCTCTCTCTACAACTGGATTCCAGAATTCGGCTCAGTGTTCAGCTGTGGGTGTCTGCTTCTGTTTCCATTAGCTACTAGATGAGGGCTCTAGGATGGCATATGAGTTTGTTATCAATCTCATTATCAGGGAAAGGCATTTAAGGTAGCCTCTCCACTGTTGCTCAGATTGTTAGTTGGCGGCATCCTTGTAGGTCTCTGTACATTTCTCTAGGATCAGTTTTCTCCCTCTGTTATCTCTCTCTCTCTCTCTCTCTCTCTCTCTCTCTCTCTCTCTCTCTCTGCTCTAGTCTATTCATCACCTTACTCAATCTTTCCTAATCCCACATGTTTTCCTCTCCTCCCCCTTCTCTTTCTCCTAACTCCCTCTCCACTCACTGCTACACACACACACACACACACACACACACACACACACACACACACACACACACGCTCCCAATATGCTCAGGAGATCTTGTTCCTTTCCCCTTCTGTGAGGGACCTTGTATGAATCTCTTAGGTTCCTCCTTGTATCCTAGTTTCTCTGGCCATGTGAATTGTAGGCTAGTGATCCTTTGCTCTATGTCTAAAATCCATATATGAGTGAGTACATACCATGTTCCTCTTTTTGTGACTGGGTTACCTCACTCAGGGTGCTTTCTTCTCATTCCATCCATTTGCCTGCAAATGTTCCATTTTTTTTTTTTTTTTTTTTTTTTTTTTGCTGAGTAGTATTCCATTGTGTAAATGTGCCACATCTTCTTTATTCATTCTCCAGTTAAGGGACATCTAGGTTGCTTCCAGGTTCTCACTTTTACAAATAATGCTGCTATGAACAGATGTCTTTGTTGCATGGATGTGGATCATTTGGGTATATGCCTAAGAGTGGGATTGCCATAGCACCAGCAGCACAGACACTGAGACTGACAATTAATAAATGGGGCCTCTTGAAATTGAAAAGCTTCTATAAGACAAAGGACATAGTCGACAAGAGCAAAGGGCAAAAAGATATTCACCAACCCCACATCTGACAAAGGGCTGATATCCAAAATATACAAAGAACTCAAGAAACTAGTCACTAAAACACCAAGTAATCCAATTAAAAAGTGGGGTACAGAATTGAATAGAGAATTCTCAGTAGAGGAATCTAAAATGACTGACAGACACTTAAGAAAGTGCAGAAAGTGTTCAACATCCTTAGCTATCAAGGAAATGCAAATCTAAACAACTCTGAGATACCATCTTAAACCTAAGAGCAAAAACATCAAGGACAGTTTATGCTGGAGAGGATATGGAGAGAGGGGAACACTCCTCCACTGCTGGTAGGAGTGCAAACTTGTAAAGCCACTGTGGAGATCAGTGTGATGGCTCCTCGAGGAGCTTTCTTAGGTGACTTTCTACATCACTGAGTTGCCAGCACATCCGATTGCAGTCAGGGACAACTAGATGGAGAAAGGTCATGTCACCCTCCAACACCCAAATCAATCAGAAGTCCAGAAAACGTAAGAACTTCATATACTCTAGGAAAAAAACAAGGATGTTGATTCCAGAGTTAAAAGTTGAAAATACTATGTACTTTAAAATATCATTTCTGCCCTGGAGTGCCCTTATTGTATAGGACGATCATCCAAGCCAAGAAAAAAAAAAAAAAAAAAAAATGAATGGAAATGCTTTAGGAAAATGCCAAACGCAAATGCACTGAAGAAAGACTTTTTGCTGAAACATTTCTACCAGCCTTAAAAACACAAAAAGAGAGCAGTGCTGTCAGAAGGGAGCTTTATGGAACAAGGAACAAGCAAGGTCCCTGCTTGCTTTATAACTCTAATAGGTCAGCTCGCTCAGGTAAAGTACCCTTTTAAGTATGACTCATTAGTGACCGAACTGTGCACTACCCAGGCATATACACTTCTTTAAGGAGACTTACCTGAACGCAGACATGTCTCACCAAGGATTCCAGCCACTTCTCCAAAGCTCAGGGAAGCCGGGAAGTGCCTCCGCTTTCGCAACCTCTCCAGCAAGTTTGCCCAATCCCGCCTACCAGGCTGATTGGCCACAGGGCCGTGGGGGCGGCAGCTGGCGACAACTTTATTCCCCACGCCTCCCCCCTCCCCAAGTCCAAGGAAGTCCTTGAGCTCCTTGCCTGAGCAGCTCTTGAAGCTCCGTGAGGCTGCGGCCACTGCTTCCATCTTCCCAGGCTCCGCTGAAGTCAGCGTCGCGTCTTCTCAGTTCCACATCTTGTGAACTTTGTGAAGGAAAGAGGAGGTAGAGACACGTGGAGTAGGCTTTTCCAGGAAGGGTCCGCTGCTCGGGATGCCTGAGCCTGGTCAGGGGGCGGGGGGGCCTTGGAAGCCCGTGGGGACTAAGTGGTCACAGCCCCAAGGTGTTTTCAGTGCTAGCCTGGCGCGGTTGATCCCGCTGCCCAGCTCTAAGCAGCAGGCCCGGCGGAGGAGCGCACAGGGGCCAAGCGGACCTGGCAGGGCGGGGCAGCAGGATCCAGAGCCCAGCACCTGGTCCACGTGGGTGATTTGGGAACTCCCGGGATCCCCAGGGTGAGTTACCTCCAGCTCCCAGGGCTGAGATCATCAGGGCTGGACTCCTCACGGCTGGGCTCTACAGGACAGTGAGGTCAGTCTAGGCTCTGGGCCCTGGGGCCATGTATTAGGCTGATGTATGGTTTCTCCCCAGGTGATGATGGAGCTTGAAGAGGACCTGAATGGAAGAGCAGATAAGAACTTCTTGAAGATGGACAGAAAGAGGTAGCCAGATTGTTTCACTTTCACCCTTGACAGGTCTTGGAGTTTGTAGCCTCCAGCACTGCACTAAATGATCAGTGGTTGTTATTTCAGCCTCCAGACACATAAACCAGTCACTGAAAAGAACTCCTATGCTTGGAGCAAGGCTTTCAGATGTGTGTGACAGAATGAGCCTCCTGTTCAGCCTCTAGACCAGCCATTGCTCACATCCTTTTAGTTTTATAACGTTATGAGCATCATTGACTGTCCATGCACCTGAGCCCAATGCAGCGTGGGCTGTCTGCCGTGGTCTGATAAACAGCTACACAAACACAGAATGTGGCATGACAGGTGAAACAGGACAAAACTGATTGCAGATCTTTTTAGGTTGGTTATCTATACTTCAGTTGGAAAAACTGACAATGTAATTGCTAAGAGAAAAAAATTATTTTTAGTATATTTTTTTATTACAGTGGACTGTCTATGACAGGAAATTAAAAACATAACCCATTAGGCACATTGTGTATAAAAATTGTAAACTAAGATGATAGGAATTAGTAAATATATTAATATTATTAGTAATCAAGTTTACAGTGTAAGGAGGGAAAGTACAGAAGTGAAAATAAATTTTATGTTTAAAAATGTGAAATCAGAATAAGGAACTTCACTATGAAGTCATGATTTGTTTTAGTTGCTCACTTCCAGTCCACCAAAAAGGACATTGAAAATAAACAACACTCTTGGTGCTTTTCGTTAAAGAAAGGGATGCCATATAGAACAGCTAATTCCAGCCAAATCTAGAACAGAGAAAATACAGTCTAAGTGTGGAATATCTAATACTAACAAGCAAGGAGTCAGGATTTAATAGATTGGGCAGATAACACAGGGGGACCAGCATGATGGGTCCTTCATAGCCTGACAAGCCTGAGTTTGAACTTTGTTTCCCAAACCAACAGTAAGTTGCAAGTTGACCCTGACCTCCATAGGCACTTGGAGTAGCATGTGAGTCTCTCTCCATTGTGCATGTATTCATACACAAATAAATGAAATGTAAAAAGCAAAGCAAACCAAAAAACAGACATAGGAGTAAGGTGGAAGAATTTCTACTGACCAATGTTGGGGCAGTTTGAACTTCAAAGAAAATGACTGCTCTAAGTGGCTTAGAGATGCTAGGTCCAATACAGTTAATGACTCAGCGACATTCTGAGAGGTAAATCATTCTAAGAAAGGTCTTTGCAGAAAAATGCAGCTGTCTGGGACATACACTATCCGTCAGGTGAGGACTGTCCAAGGGTCAGAGCTGTTCAGAGGGGAAAATGATCTTCCTCAGAGAGAGCGTTCACTCTTAGCTTCACCAAGTGATTCGATGCAGCTCGCTGAGGGTGGTTCAGGCTCTGAAGCTCTCTAGCACCTGGTGTGATTTGAGGAAGACTGTGCTTGCAAGAGTATTCCATCTGATCCAGCCAGGTTTCTAGGCTAGTCCCATATGGGAGAAATATATTATGAGATGCATTTGTAGTTTTGAATCCTCCTCCCATTGACATTAAAAAGTAAAGAATTGAAGCTTGGAAAAGTATTTAGTATCCCAGACATAGTAATTTTTATATCTGTAATAAAAAATGTGAATAAGATGACATTCTCTTTCACACTAAGCCCATATTTTGGCATTCAACATTCATGTCCCATTTGTGCTCAGCTTGAAACATGTATGTCCAACACATGGTATGTTTTAGAAGGTAATAGCTTAGCATAGCAGCTTAAAGAACTATGTCCACACACACTTGTGTGCCTGTGTGTACATTGGACTTGTCCCTAAAGGCTGGAATTCTAAGAGTACACCACCACTCAAGTATACTGCATACCAATTATTGCATGATGTTCAAAGAGAAAGGTAAAGAAAATAAATGGTTTGATTTTTACACATATCTTCATTTTATTATTGGTTCTGTCATGACTTCAAAGTAGAGAAACTCCTTTTACTTTTTGTGCAGTGGCTCTTAGCAAACTGCTCATCAGCACTGATTTTGTTATCCAGGTTGTTGCCTGGATGAGCCCCTAAGTGATTTTTAAGCTATAGTTCTGTGAGAGCGAATACAGTGTCACCACTTTGCACTCCCCGTAGATAACTCAGAACACCTGTGAGCTCAGAGCACAGTGTTCAGAAAGACAGATTGATTAGTCAATCATGTTGTAGAAATTTCATAGATAGTACCTTTCAGTACTAGGGGTTGATGCTACACAAGTGCCTGCTGCTGACCTCTATCTGTAGCCCAGTGTTGTATCACTTAACCCCATCCTGGCTGAAGTCTTCAGTCTGCATCTCCTGCCTCACAGTTTGGAGGTCCAGCAGCAGACTGCAGTCTAAACCTTAGTTTTTGATTTAGCAACAGGACCTGGGGACAAGTTAAAGTAAGTCTTCTACATGTTTTTATCTGTCAGAGGCCAACAGTATGCCTTCTTTAGAGTCCTTAATGAGTTGTTCTAGCTCATGCCTGGAATGAGTATCAGTGTCAGAGAATGAAGAGGTAAGGAAGAAGCCCAGAACTGAAGTGCATCGAGGCTGTCTCTTCTCTTGCATCCTAGGTCCGGGGCTACTGAAGCTGTGCTTTAGATGTGGCCACATAGGACCCATCCTGAGCTCATGTGTTTGTGTCCATGTTGTAGCACTAAAAACTGGACCACACCCCCCATCCCTTAATACTATCTTCTAATGTTGTTTAGTACGTGGAAGGAAAAAAAAAAAAAAAAACAAACTATAAACTTTTAAATTTAAAGTCTATGTCAAAATAATGTGTTTCTCTAAAACAGTTTATCCTAAGAGTGGTTTGGTGGAGCTTGCCATTCCTGTTGGCAGTCACAGGTGGTGACAAGTATGGGTTATGAGGTGAGGTGGTTATTGGATTTGCAACTTCGAATGATAGTTGGCATTTTTACATGTAAGAGCAGCTTTTTGACAATTCATTGTTTTTGTTTTTTTAAAGCATATGGCTTTTTTTTAGAGTTTCATTTGTGTCTGCTTAGGACCTCAGATGCTCTTGCAGAATTAGATTTGCTCGTAGAGTAATTTAATTACTTTTGAAGTTAGGATACTCATGTCCAACATTTGATCACTGCTATCTCTGTAGTAAGGAGAATGATTACAGATACTATCCAGAGCTCAAATAAATAAATACACAAGTAAATAAATAAATGTCTAGGTAGTAACTAAACTATGTCTATATTTACCAAGAAGGTAATTGGGAAGATTAATTATGGAACATGAGTTTCTTTCTTTTTTTTTAAATAGAGTATCACTATGTAGCCCAGGTTTTACTCCTGCTTGTAATATTCCTGCCTTAGCTGTCTTGGTACTGAACTTATAAATATGCTTTGCCATTCCCAGCCATAATATTCTAATTAGACTAAAATTAACCAAAAAAAAAAAAGGGAAAAAAAAGTAGAAAACTCTCTTTTTTTGAATGTGTGGTATTTTACTTGCAAATGAATGTGTGGGTGCATGTATTCATCATAAAAATTAGGAACTATCTAGCACACAAGAAAATATTCTTCTACAAATCCCAATACCTGGGACAGGGGCTGTAGCTTTGTGGGAAAAGTACTTGCTGCATCAGCCTGAGGACCTGAGTTATTGTCTCCAAGACTCATACAAAGCCAGACAAAGTGACATATATCTGCAATGCCAGCACTCTAATGGGGAAATGTGAAGTGGGAACAGGAGATTGGGAGGCTGTGGGCCAGCTGGCAGGACAAACCCAGTGGTGAATAACAGGAGACCTTGTTTCTAGCAGGGTAGATGGCAAGGAATGACACTCAGAGTTTCCATGTGTTCATCATCACAGGCTTGTGCATCCTACCTCCCCCACCCCCAATCGCTGTCCCTGTTGAGTCATCATGAGAACACACATTCACACAAGTGTAAAGAGTTAAAAATAGAAACACCAATACCCAGTGATAATCATTTTTAAATGTATAAAATATATGAACATTTGTATTTATACTTCATACATGACATCAGACTGTTTGGATGAGTACTGTGTAGACACATCTGTCTTAGTGGTTGAGTACTGTGTAGACATGTTTGTCCTAGTTGTCAGTAGTTTATAACAGGCTAGTTCTTTAAAGTTTCTGTAGCATTTTTGAAGTTTTGTATAATCCCTTTGTTGTGTTCTTCAGTGAAAAAGAGAAGAAAGAAAAGAAACCAGCTGTTGGCATATTTGTGATGGTGAGTTTGGCATTGATTCATTATGTAAAATACTTACCTCAAAACAGAGCTATTCCACATGCTATCATAAAGCTTTCTTAGGACATATAGAAATGTGGAGGTAAAGTTAATTGATTGGATTTAGTTTATTTTCAGAAGAATGCCAACCATAATTTGTCATGTACTGAAAGCTCAGCACCTTCCTCTTCCTAGCTTACATTTTAATTTTTTCCAAATTGGTTATGTTATATGTTATTGGTGATCTTTTACCTCATTTTTCTTGATGGTCATTGCCAGTGAGGTGGAGGAAAGTTTCTGTATCACATGCTGTCTGTTTGGTACAGTTTACAACAGGGTCTTGGCTATGTGTGTAGGAAGAATTGCCTCAAATTCCTGACCCTTCTATCTCCTGCCTCCCGGGTGTGGGGATAACCACAGTATACCACCATGCTTGATAACATTCCATTCTTCAAGGCCCTGAACTCCTGGGTGCTGGGATTTACCATTATATTACCACACTTGGTAACATGCCATTCTTCAAGGCCCTAATTCCTGGCATATTTGACTGAAAGTCCTTTGTATCCATGTTTGAAGTGTATATATAAATTTTTATTATTAAATAAAACTTGCAAGTCCAGTATTGAGGTAAAAACCTGATTGATCAGAGAAGTGGCAGAGAAGCCACCAATGACCTCCTCTCTCTCTCTCTCTCTCTCTCTCTCTCTCTCTCTCTCTCTCTCTCACTCACTCTGTCTTTCTCTCTTTCCCCTGATACAAAAAGAGTCCTCAAATCTTTCTAAACCTTTCCCTAGTACTTATTGTGTCTCTCTCTATATTCTGGGTCCTCTATGGTTAATTCTGGTCAGCTAGTTCCTAACTCCACCCATTAATTCAAGGTTAAACTTTATTGACAGTCTCAGAATGAACAAATATCTCTCAATACATGTTAATAAAGGTCACAGTGGGTTGTTAATTCCTAGGATCTAGCAGTCGGGTGTCTTCTTTCTCTTTAGTTAAACCTGGAGACACTCTCATAGTTGTAGGGAGAAAGGTATTTCTTCTCAGTGATTGTAATTCCAGTCCAATTGTCTGTTAATGGTAGCCACCACAGAATGAGAAAAGATTTCTGTCTCTTCAGAATACTAGTTTTTCTGCATCATCATTTTAGAAACTTTAAAATTTCTCTTAGGGTATTACAGAAGAGAAGACACACTGAATTCAGTATGAAGAATTAGTAGGTGGGGGCTGAAGAAATGGCTCAGCTGTTAAATGCACTTGCTGCTTACATAGAGGACTGGAGTTCAGTTCACAGCACTCACATCAGGCAGTTCTCTCCTACCCATAACTCCAGCGCTTTGCGATCTTATGCTTTCTTCTGTCCTTTGACAACACTTACATTCATGTGTCCGTACACATACACACACGCCCACACACACACACATGTGCGCGCACACACGCCCCCACACACACATAAATAAAAGTAAGAAAAAATTAAAAAGGAATTGGCGCAACCCATGGTGAGGTAGGTGATTGCCAAGTGAGAGGATAGCTTAGTATGAGACAGTAGCAATGACAGTCTAAACTGCGCGTGAGTTTGGGTCTACTTTGAAGCACCATCCATGGTTTCATGTGCTCACTCATTATGCCCTGTTTTTACTTCCAGTTTCGCTATGCAGATTGGCTGGACAAGCTGTACATGGTCCTGGGAACCCTGGCTGCTGTTATCCATGGAACTTCACTTCCTCTCTTGATGCTGGTGTTTGGACACATGACAGATAGTTTTACAAAAGCAGAAACCAGTAAGTATTCCACCAAACATTACTAATCCAAGTAAGGATTATTTGTGGTTCCAAATTTATTGGGTTCACTTAGCTTACCATTTGCAGGACCTTTTCTAAATATGCAGCGTTGTGTTCTGTGCTGTGAACGGTGGAGGATGAGAGCTCTAGCTCATGTTTGTAATGAGTTTGAGAAGATAATGTTTGTAGGTAGTAGGCGACCCACCCAGGAGAAGTGTTTGCTGGGACATATAGAAAGGGACGGTGTTCTATGAAGTCAGAAATGGCATTGAAAGCTTGAGGAGGAAGTACAGCTCTCTAAGCAGAACAGTGAATGGTGAGCTGCAGGGGTGAGGAGAGTCCATGGCTGTGAGTGTGAGTGGGGAGTTTAGGGAGTTTAGGATGATGCTAACACGTTCAGCCTGAGAAACTGGAAGGACATGGTTACCGAGGAAGGGAGAGATGTCTGGGCAGTTTTATATGTGGTCATGGTTTGGCCTGTCAGAAAGCAGATCCAGGACTGAGAAATGAAAGGAGGTCTGAGACAGTTGTTTACCAGGGGGAGGGAGAGGGGCCAGGGTGAGGAAGTGAGAAAGAAAGAGGGAGCGTGAGGATGTTAGCTGTAGGATGGCAGAAGTAATGCTTTTGTTCTCCATGAAATAAGAAAGTGGAAAGTTCTATTTGAAAGTGAGCATGAGATTTAGAGAGGGTCTCTGGAGGGCAAATCAGTGAGCAGGAGGAAATGCTTACTCTGGGCAGAGCCCAGGCAGCTCAGCTACAGTAACAGGCGGGAATAGTGGATTAGTGTCAGGATCCAAAGATGGGTGGCTGCATGAGGAGCTGGGAATCTACGCATGTTTTCTACTGTCTGCTAGAGATTGTTTCAACAGTGTCCTGTGGAAGCCTGAAACCACAGAGAATACTGAACCCTGCATATGTTTACAATGTATTTCTTTTACATGCATACCACTGATAAAGTTTAATTTATAATTTAGGCACGGAACCTCACAAAGTCTAATGTTGCATAAATAGAGGACTGTTAAGATTTAATTTTCTCAAATAGAGGACTGTTAGAACTTCATTTTCTCAAACAGTGGATTGTTAGGATTTAATTTTCTCAGTAAGGTTGAAAGCAGGAGATGAGTTGATAAGGAAAGATGTGAAAAAGCACCCCGGCAGTGAAGGTATGAGGGAGCTACTGAAATGCTCTGCCTCCATCTAACACAAGCATCCTTGATTTTGGCGCCACAAGCTGCTAACTCTGAGCTCCAGTTTTCAGTCAGTGCTGGTCATACAGAGATTGGTAGACTCACAGTTCAGTTTGTACTCAGTAAACATGTTGGCAAGTTATAGTTACATATTTAGAAAAGCGTATGTGTGTCTCATGTGTGGGAGAGAGCGAGAGAGAGAGAGAGCGAGAGAGAGGGAGGGAGGGAGGGAAAGAAGGAGGGAGGAAGAGAAAAGAGAGAATAATTAATGAAAACAGAGGCCATGAGTTTGAAAGAGAGCAAGTACTAGTATATGGCAGGCTTTGGAGGGTGGAAAAGGGAAGGGGGAAATGATGTAATTTTACTATAATCTCAAACAGTAAAAAAATTTGAAATGTTGGCAATGTCTATGTGTGGGATGAATTCAGGTGGACATGTGAAGCGATAGTTACAGGAGGCTGAGTGCTGCATACTATGGGTTCTGGGAATTGACATTGGGTCTTCTGTAAGAAACAGCTGACACTCCTAAATGCAGAGTCATCTCCTTGTCCATGGGCTTTTACTATTAGAGGAGGGCTTTTGATATTAGAGACCAAACCCATGGCTTTGTACATCATTTAAACTCATTTTTGAGGTGCTGAGAATTGAACTTACAGCCTCAGAGATAGTAGGCAGGTGCTCTCCTACTGAGCTTTATTCCTAGCCTGCTATTTGAATTAAGTCTATGATAAACTGAATCACTTGGTCCTGTTTTTTATAGATTTTCTAGTGAAAGGAGTTTGGTGTATTTATATATATTTCTATATATATATAGTGTCAAGAGGCATCAACGGGCCTGCTCTCTTTTCTGTTTGTCTAGGTGACACCAACAGTACAGAGGTCAGCAGCGGCAGTCTGGAGGAAGACATGGCCACGTAACTCGAATACTTCTTTATTCTTTCATTAATCTTTTCTGCATTAATCTGGTTATAATGAGCTATAATAATTTTCACTAAAATAATATGATTTGAAGTTGAGCTAAAAATCATTGTCCGTAGTGTTGTTCTTGCATAGTGTCCCTAGTAATAATAATAATAATAATATTGGCTAGCAGAAAAATTTTAAACTCAACATATAATTGTAAATAATGAAATGAAACATCCTGAAATAACTGGGTGGTGATGATACCCACCTTTAATCCCACCATTAATGGATCTCTGTGAGTTTGAGGCTAGCCTGGTCCACAAAGCAAGTCCCAGGACAGCCAGATCTGTTATACAGGGAGAACTTATCTTGAAAAAACAACCCCTCGCCCCCCCCCAAATAATTGTTTAATTTTGACTTTGGAGTTACCATGGGAAAATATTTTGTTAATGATTTACATGTTTTGAAGTTTGTTCTGAAGAATATCTTTGAACAAATGTGCAAATATCCATGACGATATTCAGATAATATGATTCTACATTATTCTATGAATGGTTTGGCATAGTTAAAGAAGGGAGACACGGTTATATTTGAACAATAAGACATGAATGTTCTGAACACTATCATATAGAGGCAGGTCTGACCTCTTGATGTAGCCCAGGCTGCTCTTAAGCTCGTGGCATCCCTTCTACCTTGGCCTTCCAAGTGCTGGGGTTATAGATTTAATGCCCAGTTAACAGCAACATCTTAATTATTTAAGATACATTACCAAGGTTAGGAATGGTGACACATCTTAGCACTGTGAAGGTACTGGCAGGAGGCTTGCAAGATTGAGGACAGTCTGGGCTATGTAGCAAGATTGTTTTAAAATAACAACAACAATATATATATATATATATATAAATAAATGAACAAATAAATAAAACTAAATAGCTTGCAGGTTGTTCCCTACAAATGTAACCATGAGGTACACTTCTTCAATGGGGTACTCTTGCTATATTATTAGCACATGAAAAATAATTAATTATAGACTCATCTAATAGTGAGAAGTGTTCTGTTGCCCCATAGCTTTTTGCAAGTCACAAGACGTAACAGGTTATGATATGATAGTAGGATCCCTGATAGGTTGATGCAGAACTGTGAACATGACATCAGAGACTCTCTTCCTTGTAAGTAACCATTTGATGCTTCCCAGGACACATTGCAATTTCCAGAAGATAACAGGTAGAACTTTTTTTTCTTTTTTTAGACAGGGAGAACTATATCCTGTATTTCATGTTGGAAGGTTTGCCTTTTATCTAACTGTTAACTGATTAGAGCCAGGTGGTGGCTCATGCCTTTATTCCCAGCACTCAGGAGGCAGAGGCAGGAGGATCTCTGTGAGTTCAAGGCCAGCCTGGTCTACAGAGCGAGCAAGTTCCAGGAAAGGCTCTAAAGTAATACAGAGAAACTATGTCTCGAAAAACCATGAGAGAGAGAAACATAAAATAAATAAATAAATAAATAAGTAAGTAAATAAATAAATAAATGTTAACTGATTGCAGAAGCCCAGGGTTTGCTATTGTGACTGTGAAGACTTGGAAAAAAGGAATGTCAGTTCAACTTTTTCTTAGTTTAATTTGAGGGCTCTTGATTTTCATTGTTTTGATTTAAATTAGAAGGGCTGCTTTTTGGACATTTTAGAATAGTTCAAAATTAACAATTGAGCAGATACAAATATTATTAATTTTCAACTGTCACGTATCAGCTGAGGTCTGTCAGTAGTTCGAAGGGCTGAGGAGTCACTTCCATCCCTGGTTTCAACTTTTAGACAGGTTCTGTCACAAGTCTCTTCACAAGCAGAGGCAGCTCATTACTTGAGGTTGATGCAATAGAATCAGGACTATGAGGGCATATCTCAGCAGACTGCCAGTATACCAAGCTCTGTTTCATAGTAACTGATGTTCCCTAGGTGCTGGCCCCACCTTTGAGATATATTGTATAACTGTTCTTACCCCCATTTCACCAGCTAGAACATTGGGACTGAAGATGTTAAGCATCCTGTCTGAGTTTACAAGGTAGTTCAGTGAAGAGCTGGGATTTGCCTCCAAGCCCTTCTTCTGTGTTGCAGCAGATATAGGTGGACGCTGACAGTTACAGCTCTGGTCCTCACAACCCCTTCTGGTTTGCTAAGGATGGTGGTATACCAGATAGCTGAAGAAGTGAGGCTCAGTTGTGTTCAGAAAGAAGGACCGATTAGAAAACAGCCTGTACAGTGTTCTTGTTTTTCAGGTACGCCTACTATTACACCGGGATTGGTGCTGGTGTGCTCATCGTTGCCTACATTCAGGTTTCATTTTGGTGCCTGGCGGCTGGAAGACAAATACACAAAATTAGACAGCAGTTTTTTCATGCTATAATGAATCAGGAGATAGGCTGGTTTGACGTGCATGACATTGGGGAGCTCAACACCCGGCTCACAGAGTGAGTACCTAGTTTTATGCTGAAGTCAGGTATGGTCTTGTTCTTAAAGCTGTGAGGTAGATACCACCAGCCCTGTTAGGAGTGATGGTGCATCACTGAGCAGAGTAAAGCCCTTGTGAGCAGTACCTGTGTCTTACACAGCTTCTTGATCACAGCGCCCTGGCAGGGATGGGATGGAGCTCCTGCTTGACTGGCACTCAATGAAGGATTAGACTGGCAGAGTCAAGAAGCATTCAGAGTTAGCACAGCAGTGATGCGCAGGGGGGCAACAATATGTCCTGTCCATCCCACTGAGCACCGGCCATCCTGCCAGGGTTCGTGGTGTTTTTGGGAAACACCAGAATGGAGGGGGGTGGGAGGAAGGAAGGAGTTCCTGTCTGTCATCCTCTGCTTTCACAGAAAAGGCAATGAACTCAAAGATTTGTGTTCATAGAGGGCAGCACCATTCACATAGGTCTCTGAGCAGTTTGAAATTTCACAGTGAATAGTCTTAAATATCCCATGTCTTTATTCTGAGGTCACATGCACCACAAAATACTGTTAATGACAAAATCTACTGGAAATAGTCTGTCAAGTGAAATGTATACAGAGATTCTAGATATATTAATTTACACGAGACCCGGTGATATGAAATAAAACTGGCTAATTTCTGTGTTTGTAAATCTGACATTATTTGTAACACAATCTCTTTCTTCTTTAGTGATGTCTCTAAAATAAGTGATGGAATTGGTGACAAAATTGGAATGTTCTTTCAGTCCATAACAACATTTTTAGCTGGTTTTATAGTAGGATTTATAAGTGGTTGGAAGCTAACCCTTGTAATTTTGGCTGTCAGCCCTCTTATTGGATTGTCATCTGCTATGTGGGCCAAGGTAGGTGAATCTACATGTCAGAGTCCTCACCAGAACCCATGAGAGAGAGGGTCTTTAACCATACAACCCTGATTGAGTTTGGCACTTTCTTTAAATTTTGGTTTAACGATCAACAGGATATGCGGATCTAGACCCACTGAACTGTTATTTGGGGAAAGAATAGGAAGAGGGGGAAGGGAGGGAGGGAGAGAGGAGAAGGGAGGGGACCTTGTATGTTTCCCGCCCTCATAGAAAAGATGTGCTGGGCTGGAAAGGTCTGTACTCAGTAGAAGACAGCACCGTATTCACTGTGAAGTGTCAGCCATACAAGTGGCCATACCATGTGTACACCACCCTCCAAAGTTTTGCAAGACTTACTATCACTCTCAGGGAGCAACCTAAGGCCATCAGGCTTGAGTTCTACTTTTACACAATGAGCTATCTTGCCAGGCTTTGCCAGCTTAAAAGCTTCTTTTCTTCAATTGATTTTCCTGTTTAGTAGAACATTGAACAAGTTAAGTTCAAACATCTCATGTCAACATTTAATAAAAATTATTTAAAATGTTTTAGAATACCTTGTATATAGGTAAGGAAAAGAGAGTGCAACTTAATCTTTAATTATTATACATTAGAAGGCTGGAGAAATGGCTCCACACTTGAGAGCACTGGCTGCTCTTCCAGATGTTCTGAGTTCAATTCCCAGCAACCACATGGGGCTCACAAGCACACATGATAGGATCTGATGCCCTCTGCTAGCAAGCAGAGCACTCATACATAAAATAAAAATAAATAAAAGTCGAAGAAGTAGTAATTTCAGCTACTGGGACCTTTGTTTTACTCCCTGCTCTACACATGTCTTCTCAGATTGTAGGCTCTATTAAAAGATATGTGCACTAGTTTGAGAAACTATTTCTTGCTATGGAGTTGAGTCTGTCTTCTTAACCCAACAAGTAAGGAGAACAGAAAGGACCCAGGCAATTCAGGCACCTGATCCAGAAGTCCCTTTGTGTCCAGGATTCTCTTCCTTGCTCAGACACTGGGTCAACTAGAGAGCACTGGTAGGGAACTCAATGAACTTTCTCTCCCCAGAGATATCTGGCACCCAAAGATCTTGTTCTTTGTATGATTTCTGTACAAACATATATATATAAAAATTTTTCCTCTGCAAAAGATAGAGTTGATTGGCATTTTTAAATGATACCAGATTGCACTTTGACAGGTATTGACTTCATTCACTAATAAGGAACTCCAGGCATATGCAAAAGCTGGAGCAGTTGCTGAAGAAGTCTTAGCAGCCATCAGAACTGTGATTGCATTTGGAGGACAAAAGAAAGAACTTGAAAGGTTTGGGTTTCTTTTGCTAGAAATTTAAAATTCTGTGTAATTACTACTGTTCTGAAAAGTTGCAATTTTAATTACGCTTTCCTAATACATGCCTTCAAGAGAGGGGAGTATATATCTTCTGTTCACTTTTTAAAATATGTTTGAAAGCCTATGTTATCATTCTTATAGAAGAAAGAGATGGTACAGAAAGAGATGGTACAGAAACTGCAAATAAGAGGGTATATGCTACATGGACAACCTATTAGTTTGAAAAATGAAAGACTCTAAGAGAGTTATGGGATGTTTTTTAAAAGACATAATATGCTTTGATAGGGCTAAAGAGATGGCTTAGTTGTTAAGATGGCATACTGCTCTTATGGAGGACCTGAGTTCTTATGGGCCTCAACTACCTGTAACTCTGGCCTCAGGGGATGTGATGTCCTTTTTTGATCACCAGGAGCATCTTTGCTCATATGCACATACACACCCTGTGGTGGTTTGAAAGAAAATGTCCCCAAAAGGGGGTGGCACTATTAGGATGTGTGGCCTTGTTGGAGTAGGTGTGGCCTTATTGGAGGAAGTGTGTCACTGTGGAGTTCTTGTATGCTCAAGCCACACCCAGTGTCTCAGACTACTTCCTGGTGCCAGTGGATCAAAGATGTAGAATTCTCAGCTCCTTCTACAATTCCATGTCTGCTTGTATGTCGCCATGTTTCTTTACAATGATGATAATGGACTAAACCTCTGATACTGTAAGCCAGCCCATTAAATGGTTTTCCTTTATAAGAGTTGCTGTGGTCATGTCTCTTCACAGCAATAGAAACCCTAACTAAGACACCTCTACCCCAACACGCACACAAACGTAATCCTTAAAAATAAGTTTTGAGCTCAACGGTGGTGACACATGCCTTTAATCCCAGTGCTTGGGAGGCAGAGGCAGAGGCAGGCAGATCTTTTGAGTTCAAGACCAGCCTGGTCTATAAGAGCTAGTTCCAAAACCATAGAGAAACCCTGTCTCAAAAAACAATAAAACAAAGCAAAACAAAACAAAAAAGGCTTTGATTAATACTGAGGAGGCACATTTAAATATAGTCAATGAAAGTTTCTTAGAGGAAATTTCAGTTAGCCTGAGACCTAAGAGATGAGACTAAGTGTCCTATAGTGAGGGTAGGGATGTGAGGTCTGTGAGGGATGTGAGCCAACTAAATCTCCTAACGTGGCAGAAGCTTTAGAATGTGGTGGGTTATATCATCACAAAGCCTCTGCCTCTGAAGCAATCTCACTCTCCCTTCAAATTATCAGGTGTAGAAGGAAACTGGCTCATATGGAATGGAAATTTAACTAACCACAATTGTGAATAAATTTAAATTTAATTCAGTAGTCAGGATAGTTTCAATGAGTTTAACCTTTTTTTTTTTTCTGCCATGTGTCTTTCAAACATATTTCCTTCTGTATACAGAGAACATTTATTTTCATAGAGCCCTGTTTGTTGATTGTTGGATTTATTTCATGAGTGACCAGAGCCCTACTTTGAGTCCTTACTCGTAGCAGTTTCAAATGTGCAGGTCTTATGTTTATACTGTTTTGTCATGGAAAATTTTGTTTCTCTTTCAATTTGACAAGTAATTTTTCTGGGTATAATAGTCTTGGTTATTAGCAGTGTTCCTTCAGAATTTAGACTGCCTCACTCCAAATCATTTTGGTTTTAAAAGCTTCTCTTGAAAAATCAGTTTTTACTCTGATTGGCCTGTCTTTGTATGTGATTTGTCCTTTTTCTCCTGCAGCTTTCTCTCTCCCTCCTTCCCGTACCTTTCTGTGTTTTTAGTGTTTTAACCATAGCATTACATGGGGATTTTTTTTCTGGTCCTGTCTCTTAGGTGTTCTTGCATGGTTGTATTTATATGTTTTTATAAGAATTTTTAAAAAAGTATTTTTAAAAATTATCAATCTTTGACTGAATAATATAATTCCTTTACCCTGATTCAAGTCTGCTTGGCTGACCTCTGCACTCATTATCCAGTCTCTTGGTAAAACTTTCCACTTGCCTTTTGATTTGACTTATTGAGTCCTGTGTTTTGAGTATCATTTCAGTTGATTTTTCTTCAGTATTTCTATCATTATTGAATTCTATTTTCATATCTTGAATTGACTTCCACAAGTGTGTTCATGTTCTCCTTAAATTCTATGGATGTCCTTGTAGCTGTATGTTTTAGTTCTTTGTTTAGAATTTCAGCTAAGTCCCTGTCAGTGCCATCCCTTCCCACGAGACTGGTAATTTTTGGAGCATGCATGCTGTCTTGATTTTTCATCTAATTTTTGGTTTCCTGTAGGGACTTGCACATTTGGAGTTAGTTTGTTAGTAGAAGCTGTGCCCGCCCCCCCAGAATTACCTCTCTTTGGTGAGGATTGACCCAGCATTTTTAATTGGGATGCTATGGTTCCTGTCACTCCTAGGGCACCCTTTCTATCAGTGTGCTCAGGTAGGAAGAGGAGTATGCTTGGTAGCTTAGTTAAGTTAAGCTTGAGGCATGCTGGGAGAGTGCACATCCGTAACTCAGCTCTTCTGTGAAATGTGAGCCTGATCCAGGCTGCATCCCTTCCATTGGAGCTGGGGTTCTTCACTGCCTTACCCCCAGGCCAGTTTGTGCCCCCCTGTCTGCAGCTTCCTTGGCCTGTATCAATTATATAGTCGTAAGGCAAAATAAGTTTTGTAGATCAGTGATTTTAAAGTTCACATCTATAGACATAAGTATGCAACTTGTTTGTTTTTAAGAACGAGCACTTTACTGTATGTCCCTGTCTAGCCTGGAGCTCTCAGTCTTCTTGCCTGGGTTTCCTAGGCTCTGGGATTGTTGGTGTGTGACTGGCTCTAGGCTGATTTAATACAGCTTATTTAAATGTCAAAAACGTGGTTTAACATGTCACAGTTTCCTAAGTGCTCTCCTGTGTAATCTCCTAGTTGGCCCTTCTAGAACCCTCAAGGGAAGCATGTTTTTAAAGCTTTTTAAAGGTCCAGAGCTTTAAATAGCTTTTTAATGTTAAGGTTTTCTAGCATTATATCTCCAATTCATTAACCATATGTTCCTCCTCCTTCCTCTCCTTCCTTCTTCCTCCTTCTTCCCCTTCTTTCTTCCTCGTTTTCTAAATTCTTCATTCTTCCCCCCTTTCATCTTCCTTCTCCCTCATTTGACATCATCATGCCTGCTCCTCTCCCCCTCCATCAAGTAGGACAGGCTGGCCTTGAACTTGTATTCCATAACCAGCTTTTTTCCCCATCTGTCTGGGATAACATGTGCTTTTGATATTTTTTATTGTTTCACTATTACTAAGGCCAGAAAAGGTTCAAGCCTCTGTTTACTTTTCTGTGAATGAATAAAATAATAGTATATCTTAGGGGCAGTGTATGGAGAAAAGAAGAAAGCATGGGGTACAGGGCTAGTGCATCCCAACTATTCAAGTATCTGCCTGGTTACATTGGCATAGTCCCTCGATGTTTATGACTACATACAATGACTTCTGTTTTTTCTTCTAGGTACAACAAAAATTTAGAAGAAGCTAAAAGTGTTGGAATAAAGAAAGCTATCACGGCCAACATTTCCATAGGTATTGCCTACTTATTGGTCTATGCATCATATGCACTGGCATTTTGGTACGGAACCTCCTTGGTCCTTTCAAATGAATACTCTGTTGGACAAGTACTTACTGTAAGTAGTATGTGATTTATAAAAGGATTTGCTAAAAATGCCATTTAAATTGAGTAGTTTAATCTGACCTTAGAAGAATGTGTTTTGAAACCTATTAAATACTATAAAGAAACATTAAGTCAAATAGTAGGTTAAGAGTAGAGAAGAAATTAGATGGATCCAAAAATCAATATTGTTTTCTTTTTTTTACAGATATCTTAATAAAACTTATTCTTTATGTGTCAATGTTGCATTAAAGAATAAAAATACCAAGTTTTCCTTTTTGAGCATTATAAACCAATGTCTTAGTTACTGTACCAGTACTGTGAAGAGACACCACAAGCAAGGCCACTCTTATAAACAAAAGCATTTAATTGGGGGCTTGCTTACAGTTTTAGAGGTTTAGTCCATCATTATCATGGTGAGGAGCATGGTGGCACACAGACAGACATGGTGCTGGATGGTGCGAGATGTCCTTCTATAGGCTGTGAATATGTGTTTCTTTTATTGGTTGATGAGTAAAGCTGTTCTGGCTAATGGACAGACAAGATTTATAGGCGGGAACTCTAAACAGGGATAGAGAAAGGTAGTAGGCAGAGTCAGGGAGATACCATGTAGCTGCTGAGGAAACAACAGGCCTGGGCATCACTGGTAAGCCAAGACTGTGTGGAGATATACACATTAATAGAAATGGGTTAATAATTAAGAAAAAATTAGCCAATAAGAAGCCTGGGCCATCGGCCAAACAGTTTTATAATTAATATAAGTCTCTGTGTGTTTATTTGGGCCTGAACAGCAGCAGGATGTGGTAAGACAGAAACTTCTGTCCACAGACAGACAGATCTTTGCGAACTTAAGCCATCCTGGTCTACATATCTATATCTAGTTTCAGGCCAGCCTGGGATATTCAGTGAGACCCATGTGTTGCACAATGTGAGGCTTGAACCCCTCACCCGGATTCAGAGTCTCATGCTCTAGACTAAACTAGCTGGGCTTATGGGTCTCATTGAATAGCCCATCAAAGACCCCAGAAGGATAATATATAAATTCTAGAACATCTTGCTGCCTAGACAGTCAGAACTGGACAGTTTCTCTGTAATGTTGGGGCATCCATCTTCAGCCCATAGGCCATAGTGTCTGGCAGACTTTTTAAATGAAGTAGGAAATTTGAAGATCTAGTGTGACCTGTAATGGCAAAGTTTGCCAATTGCTTTCTTCTGTAAAGGAGGAACCCTGAAGGACCCTGAAGGACCATCCTATCTCTTGGCAAGTTCAACAGTCACTTTCCGTTGTAACCTGCTTGTCCAGTTTGGACAGCATGCTTACTGTCAGCAGTTAAAGAAAGGGCAGTTCTTTGCTTCATTGAAGGCAAACTCCCTAACAAGTTTCTTCCATGCCCATTTTCCTCTCTGATGTATTTGGTAGTGCTAGGAATAGTTGTGTCTCATTGTCATAAAAAACATTTTAAATGCCATATTCTGTAGGTCTTTGAAGGGTTTTGAAGAATAGCTATTCATCTAAAAGTTATCTCTGTATATCTAGTAAAATTAACATAAGTTTTGACTATTGTAGGTGGCTATCTATCATCTTATTTAATTAGATATTACATTTTTAAAAGAGCTGTATAAACACAATACCGAAGCAAGAATAGAAATATACATATAACAAAATTGACCTAATTTGTATCCATAAACCAAAATCCATACCAATGCAAAATATTCATTTCTTTATCATAGTACCATTTTTCTTTAGAAAGTGATTGACTATGATCATTAGCCATTTATAGCCACCCCTGTTTAAATGGAAACAAACATTTATAAACAATACTTGGGAATTTGGGTGTAGTTCTCTCCAAACTGCTTCTGCTATTTTAAGGGTACTGTCAATCCCATGGGGGGGCCTGAGAAACCCAGAACCCTGGCCAAATCCTGGCTGTAGTGGTCTGTGAGCCTGCATGGTCTCAGCTGTTTTGGATGTTGGATCACCTGGGCCACTGCTTCAGGGGGTCTTTCTCCATCAAACCATATCAGCCTTTTCATCTTCTGTGGAGACAAAAGCAGAACCTCTTTTCCAAAGCAATCTGTCCTTAAACTTAAATTTAGAAGTCAAAGTACTTTCAAAATATATAGGTTGGATTTATCCAGAAGTATTTACAATGCAATGTCTTTTAGCAACTGTTGCTCCTTCCTCAGTATCAAATAATTCAAAGACAACATAACATACAGTATCCAGACTCTCTGTGTATTTTCCATTTTTACATGGCCTTTTTAAAATTACATTATTTCTTTTATTTTTAGTTTTTACTCTTTGGTTTTTTGAGACAGAATTTCTCTGTATATCTTTGGCTGTCCTGGAACTCACGCTATAAACCAGGCTGGCCTTGAAATCACTAGCTAACCATTGAGGTCGGGAGCTCTGTGCAGGCAGACAGGAAGTGAGATAGCTGGACAGAAAAAGGATATAAGCAAGGAGAAACAGGAACTCTTTTGTCTGCTGAGAGTTAGGGTGTAGCTGTGGCTTGCTCCTTCTCTCTGATCTTGCAGCATTTTCTTCTATATCTGGCATTGGGGGTTTTTATTATTTAGACTAATTAAGATCTTCATTTACAGCTGGAGAAGTAGTTGAGGACTACATCCTGATCTGAAAGTAGAGAGACAGAAACAGACAAACAGACAGAGACATGAACCTAATATAGGCTTTTGAAACCTCAAAGCCCACCCCTAGTGATATACTTCCTCCTCCAACAAGGCCAAACTTATTCCAACAAATCCTCATCCCCTAATCCTTATAATCTTATCAAAGACTTCCACTCTCTGGTGACTGAACATTCAAATATATGTGCCTATTGGGGTCATTCTTATTCAATTCACCACAACTAAGAGGCCACATTTGAATTCTCTATTTTTCTCCTGTGTCGTTTGTCTTGTTGTGACCTGATGTCTGTCTGTCCTTACAAAGGACTTTGCTCTATATTCATTGAATAGCACAGAAAAACATGGTATTGGATAAGAATGAAAAAAATTGTTTTGTTTTTTTACTGAAAATTTTGATAGAATTTTACGAGGGAAGATGCTGTTTTACTGATCCCAAATAGCACTCAAATCTGCAGGCAGGATCTGCCAACATTTATGTTGGGTACTGCTTTTCTTTAAAGTTGTTTTCAATTTATTGTCTGTCTATAACAAATTATTACCATAACACACATACACACACACACACAACACACACACACACAAATACATACATATACATTCTTCTGGGTCAGGAATATTGAAATGTAGATAAGATTAAAGCTATTCATTTAGCTTAGTTTATAAAATGTAAGTGTATCTGAAGTTCAAGGTATTGTTAGATGTTACAAGTTAAACTTAAACTGGATAAATACACAATAGGGAAACAGTGACTGTATGTTTTTAAATGGTCTTAAGGCATATTATTAACTTGGTTACAAGGTCTGGTAGAATTTAGTCTCTGAAGACATGAAGTATTTTCAGAAGAGGTGATTCCAACACCTGTAACCTAAATACCATTAGCAATAGCCACCTTTCTGCTATGAGCCTACGTTGAGTGAGATGGTCTCTTTTTGACAAACTTTGTACTAGGTGTTTTTTTGATTTAATATTCAAACAAAAATAGTAAAAGATCTTTTGAATGGCAGCTGGAACACCTCACAATTTTATAGAAATATAAATTGTTGTTCTTTATAAAAGCAAATTCTATTGGGAGGTTTTTTTTGCCTTGTGGGAATGCACAAGTACAAGGTGCTATTTTCTTTCATTTGAAGACAATGTAATAATTAATAAACCAAACTGAATCTGTGATAGTGGACTCATTATTCCCCTCCCTAAGTTCAAGCATGTTGAATTCATGACTGGCCACCTTTTCTTGAATCATTTAATGTAATACCTTTTTTATATCTTGATAGTTTCACCATGTATTTCAGGTTATCCTCAAACTCATGATTCTTCAGCTTCAGCTTTTGAGTTTGGCAATTATTCGCAGTCACCATGTGCCTGGCAAGCAGTTTTCTTTATCAACATTCTATAGAGTGAATTCTAATTGGTCTTAATAATAAAAACCCAGAGTCAGATATCAGGGTGAATGCTGAAATATCAGAGAAGTAAAGGAGCCAGCCACTTAAGTTCTTAACTCTATGAATCCTCAGACTGAATGAACCAGATCCTGTCTCCACCCACCTTATAGTCCTATCTCCACCTCCCTAGTGCTGAGATTAAAAGCATGTGACACCACTGCCCAACCTCTGTTGTTACCTAGTGGCTAGCTCTACACTCTGATCTTCAAGCAAGCTTTAAAAGTATCACCAGAAAATTCATATTTGTAATACAGATATAATAATTGCCTCCAATGTTTAAGGTAGTTAAAATTTTTATTTTCATTATATCTATGTGTGCCATGTACGTGTGTGTGCAGGTGCCATGGATGCCAAAAGAAGTTGTTATGGGCATTGGAACTGGAGTTGCAGGTAGTTATTAGCTGGTGGTTATGAACCACCCAAGTGGGTGCTGGAAACTGAACTCAGGTCCCTTGCAAGAGCATATGAGACATCTCTCCAGCCCCTAGGGTAGATTTTATTTCTAAGAAGTTAAGTGTTTTTAAGTAGAAGAGCTTAGGCTGTAATAAGAAATGTGTCCTGCTTATTGTGATATAGAGAAACATGGTTATTTATTTATATGCTGAGTATAGAACCTGTGCTTCATACGTTATCCGAGGGAGGCATCTCTTCTGCCCTTGAGCATCCCCACCTTTGGACGGAGTAATGTGCATCAGATGGTCCGGTCACTGTTTTACAAACAGGACCATCCAATTAGTGCATGCAAGATTTTATGTCAGACACACTGGGGTCAAATCCTGCTGGACCTGCCAGCTGTGTGATTTGGAGTGGCTGTCTAAAGCCATGTGACTTCTGTTACCTCTTCCACCAGCCAGATGACAGACAGGAGTGCTGCCATAACGTGTTTAGTTGTGAAGACTAAGTGTGATACACAGTTGTGTTCCTGTATGGCTTGCAAATGAGTATGACACTGGTTCTCATAAAGCTCCAGTAGAACAAAGATGAGGCCTTACTAACAAGAAGAAAGTGTTTTGAATAAGACAAAGAACAAAAACCCAAATACCTGTTCGTTAGACTTCATAGAAAAGACAGCATAGGGAAGTGAACTTGGGACAGAGTCATATCTCAGTTGTGTGTTGCATAACTGAGAGAGCACTGCAGAGGCGGTAGCATCCGATGCAGTGTAGACAGAGCAGGTCAACTCAAAGCCAAAGATTTGGAGAGAATGTCCCGAAGATGTACAGTAGTCATCTAGGAATAGACCCAGTCTTTTTGTGTTTGTTTCATTCTATTCTTGTGAGAATCTAGGTAAAACTGCTGGATCTTTGAAAATAAAAACTTTCTATTTAATATGTTGATTGTATAGAAAGGATGACCTTGGGTGATGAAGCAAGACTTAATTCTGAATTCTAAGTGCATTGTGTAAACTTAATTCACATTATTTTTTGTTAATCTTAATTGAAGAATGGCAAATATTTTACTTTTGGTGACTACAATGTAATATTCTGATATATGTGCATATATATATATGCTGATAACTGGGATTGGAACTTGAATCTCTTAGTCATAAAATATTTTAGTACTCAGCCGGACAGTGGTGACACACACCTCTAATCTCAGCACTGAGGAGGCAGGGGCAGGCCGATTTCTGTGAGTTCAAGACCAGCCTGGTCTACAAAGCGAGGTCCAGGACAGCTAGGGCCGTTACACAGAGAAACCCTGTCTCAATCCCCCAAATAAATAAATTAATAATATTTTAGTACTCAATATTCTTGCCATTTATTCTCATCAGTATTTTAGTACTCAATATTCTTGCCGTTTATTCTCGTCAGTTCGCTGTCAATTGCTGTCATTTTGAAATGAAATTTGCTATGTTAGAAGAAAAAGGAAGCATGAGAAAGATTGTGCAGAACACTGACTGCATGCTTTGGTCGCCTTCCTCAGGTCTTCTTCTCTATATTGCTTGGGACTTTTAGTATTGGGCACATTGCCCCCAATGTAGAAGCCTTTGCCAACGCAAGAGGAGCGGCCTATGAAATCTTCAACATCATTGATAATGTGAGTCTGACCTGCGCATTTACCTATCTAACAAAGCATTTTCCAGTTAAGATGGTTTCATCATCCCTTTATGTAGCTAATCAACAGTTCCATCTAAAGCCATTACTGTCAATTAATGACCTCCTGCCATTTTCTTCTGTATAGAAACCCAGTATTGACAGCTTCTCAACAAATGGGCACAAACCAGACAACATTAAAGGAAATTTGGAATTCAAAAATATTCACTTCAGTTACCCATCTCGCAAAGAAGTTCAGGTATGGTGACAATATTTTATTAGATGGAAAGTTCCTAATGGTTTCTAAAAGACTGTAGAGAAAGGCTTATGCATGAAAGCAACATGCTTTGAATAGAAATGCCAGCCCATAGAATCTGCATGCATCTGTGCCTGGGAATTGTCCTAACACTAGCTTCTCACCTGTCTGGCAGATCTTGAAGGGCCTCAACCTGAAGGTGCAGAGTGGACAGACGGTGGCCCTGGTTGGCAACAGTGGCTGTGGGAAAAGCACCACTGTCCAGCTGCTGCAGAGGCTCTACGACCCCACGGAGGGCGTGGTGAGTGGACATGCAGCCAGCAGCGGTTACCACTGCCCATCATTCTGACTCTGTGATTCTAAAGTGTGAAAACCACACTTCCATTTCAGGTCAGTATCGACGGACAGGACATCAGAACCATCAATGTGAGGTATCTGCGGGAAATCATTGGCGTGGTGAGTCAGGAACCTGTGTTGTTTGCCACCACGATTGCTGAAAACATTCGCTATGGCCGAGAAAATGTCACCATGGATGAGATTGAGAAAGCTGTCAAGGAAGCCAATGCCTATGACTTCATCATGAAACTTCCCCATGTGAGTTGTGCCTGCCCTCTGTCCCCCCCAAGGGCCAGGGAGTAGAGCCCTGGCCTGATTCGGTCCATGTGAACTTTAGAAACTTTCTTAGAGGGGAAATCAGTTTACTTTGGATTTTCCATGACTCATCCTACTGACTAGAAGTAGATATATGTTGCCAGGAACTGGACCTTATTGCTGGCGAGGCTACAGTGATGATTACATCCCCATTTGAAATGTGAACTGAGTAGTTTGTTGTTTACTATATTTTCCTTCTTATTGTTTTATTTTTAATTGTAGAAATTTGACACTCTGGTTGGTGAGAGAGGGGCACAGCTGAGTGGGGGACAGAAACAGAGAATCGCCATTGCTCGTGCCCTGGTGCGCAACCCCAAGATCCTTTTGTTGGATGAGGCGACGTCAGCCTTGGACACAGAAAGTGAAGCTGTGGTTCAGGCTGCTCTGGATAAGGTCTGTGAGCTGCACAGGTCTGAATTATAGGAATAATAGTATTCCATTGCTTATTTTTTTTTCTTGTATGTGTGTGTGCATGGGAGCATTAGAACATGTGTGCACATGCATGGATTATCTTCCTTAGTTGGTGTGCACCTTATTTTTTGAGACAGTGTGAGGTCGCTGAAGCTGCAGCCCTCTCATGTGGTAACCCTGGCTCATCCGAGTATCCTCTAGTCTCTACCTCCCCAGAGCACAAAGCACCCTATTTTAAAAAAAAAAGTTTTATTGATTTTTCTAACAGTTTTTATCCTTTGAGAATTTCATACTATATATTTTGATCGTATTCTTTGTTGTTGTTATTGTTTTGTTTCATGAGACAAGGTTTCTCCATGTAGTTCTGGCTGTCCTGGAACTCACTCAGTATACTAGGCTGGTCTTGAACTCAGATCCACCTTTGATCTGCCTCCCAAGTGCTAGGATTAAAGGCAGGTGCCATCCAACCCAACCCCTCCTGGATCCTTCCTCACCTTCCTGCCCACCCAGCTTCATAGTCTCCCTCTTCTGTCTGTTAAAACAAACATTTGAATGGGTGGTGGTGTGGCATACCTTTAATCCCAGCACTCAAGAGGTAGAGACATGCGGATCTCAGTGAGTTCAAGACCAACCTGATCTATAGAGCTAGTTCCAGGACAGCTAGGGCTGTTGCATAGAGAAATGCTGTCTCAAAAACAAACAAATAAAAAAACCCCAACAACAACGAAACACAAACCAAACCAAAAAGAAACAAACATACAAAATCAGAGCCCAGTTTGTATTGGCTGACTATTCCTGAGCATAGGACCTGCCCAGCAGTGTGGTTGATACACACAATTTTATTCAACTGAAGAAAACTGATTTTTTTTTCTATGCCAGTGCTATCTGTTATGAATAGCTCCTTGGCTAAAGTGGGACTTCATGACCATATATTATTTATTGAAATCGTAGACTATTTTCTGTAGCTTTACTGTTTTTTTTTTAAACATCTTATTATCATATATCAAAAGCCAGGTTTCTCTCTCTTCAGGCTAGAGAAGGCCGGACTACCATTGTGATAGCTCACCGCTTATCTACAGTCCGTAACGCTGATGTCATTGCTGGGTTTGATGCTGGTGTCATTGTGGAGCAAGGAAATCATGATGAACTCATGAAGGAGAAGGGGATTTACTTCAAACTTGTCATGATGCAGGTTTGGTGAAACTCTAGCATATTCCAGAATTATCTTGGTGATAACACACTACTATTTAATGCTATAGATAATTTGATTTGATTATCTTGAAAAGCAGGAAAAGCAGGATATTCAGGACCAGGCAAGTGTTTTGTGTTACTTTTTCTGGGAAAGAGAGGAGTGGGTTTAGAGGTGATCCACCCCTGGAAGTAGCTGCTGGCCACATGTGGCTCATGGGCATTTAAATATTGGTTAATCTGGATTTTTAAATGTTTTAAGTACAAAATGAACATTGGGATTCTGAAGGCCTATTATTTAAAAAAACAAAATATCTCAGTAGTTTTTTGGATAGTTACATATTGAATGTATAAAAAGTTGGACAACAATACTATCTTGGATGCACTAGATTAAATCTGTAACTAAATTGATTTCTTAAATCCATTTTTATATTTTCTAATATGGCTGGTGGAAAATTTTAGGTGGCAGATGTGACTCATTTATGGAATATATTACATTGCCTTTGATAGTAATAATTCAGAGCAAACTTGATTGACTGAATGCCCCAAGAAAGAGATTGTTTTAGTTAGCTTTCTGTTGCTGTGATAAAATACCAGGACCAAACAGACTTAGGGAGGAGGGGGGATGGGTTGGGGAGATTTTATCCTTCAGCTTGTAGTCAGTTCACTGTCCAGGGAACTCAAGGCAGGAACTGATTGCAAGGGGCCATCGGAGGCTACTTACTGGTTTGCTCCCTCTGCATCACTCAGTCTTTCTTATACACCTGGACCACTTGCCCAAGGATGGCACTTCCCACAGTGGACTAGTACTCCCATATCAATCGTAAATCAAGAAAATACCCCACAGGATTGCTGGGAGGCTAGTCTTATGAAGGCATTTTCTTAATGAAGATTCCTGCTTCCTGCGTGTTTAGGTTTATGTCCAGTTGAAAACTGCAGCAGCACAGAAATGGCTGTATGAGAGTCACTGCATTTCATGGCTGTCCTTTTCATCCTGTGCTTTTTCCATTTCACCACTTGAGAAGGCATAGCAGCTTAACCCCATCTTTTCCCATGATAACTTAAAACATTTCCTGATTTTCTTAATGCTGATGCTTATGTGCTGTCTATCTGTGCCTAAACAATTTCTCTGTCTTTTTTTTTTTTTTTTAGACCAGAGGAAATGAAATTGAATTGGAAAATGAAGTTTATGGATCCCAAGGTGATGCCAATGCCTCTGAATTGACTTCAGAGGAATCCAAATCCCCTTTAAGGAGAAAATCAACTCGCAGAAGCATTCCTGGTTCACAAGACCGAGAGAGAAGAGTTAGTGGCAAAGAGGCCCAGGTATGCATGTGGCTGTGGATTTAGTACTAAATTGTCCCCAGACCCCTCCTTGTGGCTTCTGTCAGTTGGATGAGTTGAGGCTGAGGTAGGAGGAAAAACAAGACACAACTATTTAGACTGCTTCTGTCATATTTATACGTGGTTCTAGAAATCAAAATCAAATTTTACAGTAAGCTCAGAAGAGGAGGAATTCATAGGAAGTTTTTTTTACATTTGGGATTTATGTAAAGAAACTGTAATGGTCTATAGTTCATTTTGTTTGTTTGTTTTCTTTTTTACTCTTTGGGGAACTACCACCCAGCTCTCAAATAAACATACAGAGACTTATTCTTATTTCTGAAGGCTCAGCCATAGCTTGGCTTGTTTAGCCAGCTTTTCTAACTTAAATTATTCTGTTTCTCTTTAGTCTTTGGGCTTTTTATCTCTATTTTTTGTATCTTGTGTTCCTTCTTTACTATCTGGCTAGCTGGCTATGTGGCTAGATGGCTAGCCCCTGGTGTCCTCCTTTTCTCTAGTCTAAATTTCTCCTCCTATTTATTCTCTCTGCCTGCCTACTCATTAACCATTCAGCTCTTTATTAGACCAATCAGTGTTTAAGACACTCAAAGTAACACAGCTTCACAGAGTTAAACAGATGCAACATAAAAGAATACGGCATATCTTGGCATCATTAAACAAATATTTCACAGCATAAACAAATGTAATATATCTTAAAGTGTATAAAGTGTAGCATATGTTCTAATAGGTCTTAATAATAAAAACCCAGAATCAGATATTGTGGTGGAGGGGGGGGGGTTAGTGCTGCTGAAAGATCAGAGAAGCAAAGTGGCCATCTACTAGGGAATTCTTACCTCTACCGATGCTCAGACCTGTTCTTCTTGTCTCCTCCCGCCTTATATTCCTTTCTCTGCCTAGACATATCACTCCTGTCTCCATCTCCTTAGTGCCGGGATTAAAGGCATGTCACTCCAAGTGCTGGGATTATGTTTGTGTGAGCTCTGCTTCTTTTTGAGACTGGACCAATTTTTTTTGTAGCCCAGGGTGGTCTTGAACCATCAGAGACCCATCTGTCTCTGTCTCCCGAGTGCTGGGATTAAACATGTGTATCACCACTGTCTGGCCTCTATGGCTGGCTAATGTGGTTGGCTTTGCACTCTGATCTTCAGGCAAGCTTTATTTGTTAGACCATAAATAAGATATCACCATTACACTAACATTCCACAACAGTAGTCTTGCTGAGAGAAAAATGAAGCAACTCACAGTTTGGGGGTGGTGCTAGACCTCAAACATTTAGTTTGGTACTTGACTCATGACATCACCCACCTCTCATTTTACTATCTATGATAGCTAGTAATATGCAGCCCTTCCTGCATGCCATCGTACTTTTAATGTACATGAAGAGGCTGGATAGATGGCTAGAGTTGGAGTCCAGCCATAATACCTTTGAAGAAACATATAGCCAACCAAGATTATGTTTATGAGAGCTTGAAGCACATATTCTTTTATAACATCAGATGTCTATAATATTGGAACTATTATGTGTTAGGGCAGTTTAATAATTTTTTTTTTTAAAAAGAATGAGACTCTGGTGGACCTGCCACTATTAAAGTTTCTATTCTCTTTGTTCTGGTTGTAAATCATCTTTTCTTGTGAATTCTAGGCCAAGAGTATTGGTAACAACAATAGTTTGTTTATTTGTTTTTTTAAATAAAACCGTTAAGAGTTATCTTCAGAAATAGTACTATCAGTCGATAAGGTATCATTATATTCATTAATGATAATATGGATAGATGGAGCGATAAATGATAAAGTTAACTATCAATTTTTAAGTAATACTTCTATATGTATGTTTTGCCTGCATGTGTGTGTGTGTGTGTGTGTGTGTGTCTGCTACCCCTAAAAGCCAAAAATCAGATCCCTTAGAACTAGAGTTACAGACAATTACAAATTGCCTTGTGGGTGCTGGAAAATCAGCCAGTGCTCCCAACTGCTGAGACATTTCTGTAGCCCCAACATGATCAATTTTGTAAACTGTCTTGTATGTTTTCTAGGATGAAGATGTGCCTCTAGTTTCCTTTTGGCAGATTCTGAAGCTAAATATAACTGAGTGGCCTTACTTGGTCATCGGTGTACTTTGTGCCGTTATAAATGGATGCATGCAACCAGTCTTTGCCATAGTATTTTCAAGGATCATAGGGGTAAGTGCTGGTGTCCTTTTTGTGCATTTGTTTGTGATTTGCTGATGAAGAGTGAATGAATTACCTCTATTTGTACCAGTGACAATAAGCCAGGATAACATGACTTGTCTAATTTGTAAAAGGAAACCTAATATTTTAATTTAGTTTTTTTTGAGAACTTCATGTAAGAGAGCTATATTTACATCATTTTCATCTCCTTTAACTCCATCCAACTCCACAGGTCTACTCACCAGCCCCTCTCAAATTCATTCACTCTTTCACAATTGTTATTGTTAAATACACACACACACACACACACACACACGAGTCCACTTAGTGGAAAAACAAAAAGAAATGAGGATAAGTGCTCACTTTGGCAGCACATATACTAAAATTGGAATGATACAGAGAAGATTAGTATGGCCCCTGCACAAGGATGACACGCAAATTTGTGCAGCGTTCCATATTTTTATGACTTGACAGATTTTGTTGATCCCTCCTGGAAGGCATCACTCTCCCTGTGGAGTACAGGGGGTTGAAGGGAGGGAAGGAGAGGGACTGGGATCGATATGTAAAATAACAAAACATTATATATGTAATAAAAAGACAGTTGACAAATGAGCTATCCCTTGGGGGAAGGTATGCAAGAGGCAGAGAACCAGGACACCTGTCCCTGGATGATATGAGAGCTACACCCGGGAAATCTCGGCAATATAATTGCCTAAACCAGATCTCTGTAAAGACACGCCAGCCAACATGCCAGTGTGGGTGGGGAACATTTCACAAAGCTCCATAATCAATGGCTGCCAAGAGAGGGACACTCTGCCTTCTTCAGGGGTGACTTTCGGGTAGACTATCCAGTCAGAAATATTCAACCCACACAACTTGGAACACCTGAAAATCTTTACATAGTAAAATAGTGAGTTGTTGAACAATATTGTTCCTTACCAAAATTCTGAGTGGAGAGAATTTATTCCATCATAGGGTGGCATGTATTAGTCTGTCTGAAAACCTACCTGTTCCCCAAAATGTTGGGGGCGTCAGTAAGTGACAGACCCCTCTGTCTTGAAGGAAGGCAGAATGCAGATATCTTAGAGGTTATCCTGCAAGCCAACCTTGTTCCAGTATACAAAGTCTGCCCTGTCCCCCAAACTGTGAGAGATGGGGAATGGGCTCCCCAAGAAATGCCCTCCTCAGTGATAGAACTAACAACCCCTCAAATATTTTGACACAGGTTTTTACAAGAGATGATGACCCGGAAACCAGACAACAGAATTGTAATTTGTTTTCCCTGTTTTTTCTGGTCATGGGCATGATTAGTTTGGTTACGTATTTCTTTCAGGTAAGTACATAATTTCTGTATCCATTTTGAAAGATTTTGCAAGCAAGTATTTAATTTTCCTGTTTGTATAGCTCCTCCTTCATTACCTGAGCTGTAGTAGTCCTGTGGTTCTGCCTCCTCTGGCTCTTTCCTCCCCTTTCCCCAAACACAACCCTAGACCTAATCATAGGAAGGGAATGGCCAGTGTGCTGCAGTGATAGAACAAAGAAAGAAACATGAGAATGATAGGCTGGGGGTAAGTTTGGAGCTGATTAATGCTTGTCAAGTTAGTGTTTAGAGAAATGTCTTTCTATATTTAAAAAAAAGAAAAACCAGGAAACTAAGAAACTCTGCAAGTTTAGAGCAGGTTGGCCTTGAACTCTCAGACAGCTGCATGCCTCTGCCTCCTGCGTGTACCACCAATGCCAGGCAGAAAGACCCTTTCAGTGATAGGAGAATTCCAGTCATTAAAAGGAATCACTTACATCTTTTTGCAGTTTGAAAATTCATATGACTCAAATTCAATAGCAAAGCATTAAATATTCTCACAATATAGTGTGGAAGGGCATACAGTGTAGACTCTGGAGTTAGACCTAGGTCTTTCTATCATTTGCACACAGAGCCAGTTATGTGTCTGTGGAAAAATTAGCCATTTTAGCTGCCTTTGTCTGAGCTCCCTTTCTCTGAAACATGGGAAATGTTGCCTCACTATGAGTGAGAGCACTTATGACCAAATGAGAAAGCCTGGATCTAATTGAGGCATTGAATGAGTCAGTAATAACCCACATGAAATCTTCTAGCTGAAATTCTGAGCTTTATTTTTTAATTTAAAATTTGATTTTATATGTATGCCTGTGTACCATTTGCAGGCCTGGTACCAGCAGAAGCCAGAAGAGGGACTGGAGTTACAGATGATTATGAACCACCATGTGGGTGCTGGGAACGGAACCTGGGTCTCCTGGAAGAGTGGCCAGTGGTCTTAACTGCTGAGCCATCTCTCCAGCCCCTATTTAACACATTCTAGACATATATTGATATTTTAATAGACAAGACAGTTTCTGAACACTTTCGGAGAGAAAAACTGAATAAAAGGGTTGACTGAATGCTTCTTAGATTGCAGAACTGTACCTTGCTAATATCAATGGGATACTGCCCACTTCCAAGAGGGTCGCAAATGTTTGGAGACGGTTCGGTTGCTCTATGTGGAGTGAGTGGGTAGGAGACTGAGAGGCAGGTGGCTTTGAGCTGGTCATCCCTGCTTTGGCAGTTGGAATGGTGAAGCTTGAGGAGCGAAAGGTATTCCCTCACAGTATGGCTGTGTTGGAGAAACAGTCTGTTATGAGTGAGTCTGGCAAGACTACCAAATCACATTGAGAAATAGCCAGTGGATCCCTGAACCTCAAAAGGGTTTAGCACAATCCATGCTGGGAAGAGGGTGGAATGCTCAGCTGCTCATCTGAGAAATAGGCAGGGACCTCAGTAAGGGGCAGGAGATTAGACTGGATCTCATGCTGCTCAGGAATTTGCATTTCTTGCTGTAGACCCTTATTGAGCTGTGGCCTCTGGAAATTTGTCAACTCTTCCAGCCTCCAGTTTGGCTCTCAACATGACAGCTATAGGATTATGAGATCATGTATGTACCCAATGTAACATAAGATAGCTCTCAACAAAAACAACAGTGACATTGCCCCGGGGGACATTGTAGGCAGCTACTAAACCATTTACTCTAGCAAATTCAAAGTAAGAAAGAACTTTCTTTCACATGTCATTTGGTCAAAAGCAGAAACCTGTCTTTAGGTTAAGGACCCATCTGTCCTTAACTTTCAAGGCCTTTCTGATGTTGCCCTCTGCCCTCTGCACATGCCTTTTCCCCTTCTTTCAGGGGCGCCCATAATGCAACTTGGGAACGAAAAAGAATACATGGTGGCCATCTTCCATGCCTCTGATACCACAGGAGGTTACATGGGGGAACTGGGACCCCCACTTTTTCCTTCCAGCACACTGCCTCTCCCATGCTGGCTTTCTGTATCTCATGCGTGTGTTAAGACTCCAGTTTCAGGTGGACATGGGAACACAGCTGCTTCCTTTGTTCTCACGGTCATCACAGGAAGGACTTGGTAGTCTTCCTTTCCCAGGTGTGGCCTGGCATAGCAGCACGCTCATGTCTTACTGGTCTTCCCTGCTCTCCTGTCTCTCCTCCAGATACTGAAGTGTATAGCCTTGAAGGGTGGGGAGATAGGCATGCAATAGGCTTTCTCTTGGTGAGCCACCTTCCTCAATCTGTTTTGGTCCCAAACTTTGGCTTTTTCAGTTTGAAAGCTAAGACTTGGTAAGTTTGTTCTCTGTCTCCTTTATGTGTGGGTGACTGTAAATTCTTTTTCCCAGATTTCACCTTTGGTCCTTGTGCAATCATTAACAGTGCATCTTTTCTGTCTCGGAGATGATCCAGTTAGATAGTAATTTTTGTTTACAGTTTCTTCAGAGCACCCCACTTTCTAAGTGATTGCTGTTGTTGGTTGGGGGAGATAAGTAGTGTGGGATGGGTGATGGGGTGGGCGGAGCATTTGTAGCACACCTCTGGACACCCTGTCACTAACTGGGAACTATGAGGTTACTGTCAAAACTGGTCTCTGTTGTCGTCTCAGCTGTGCTGGCCCACTGCAGCTCCATACCTGGCTATAGCATAGAGTCACAACAATACAGCAAGCCCAGGGATGTGACTTCGCATTCATCCTGCCCCGCAATAGTGTTGATCCCCTTCCCACTGTGAGCTTGGTGTCTGAGTCTCTGGCCAGCCTCCTGTGTGACACATTCTCCTTCTCCTTAGGGCTTCATGTTTGGCAAAGCTGGAGAGATCCTCACCCAGCGACTCCGATACATGGTTTTCAAATCCATGCTGAGACAGGTATGTAATGATGTATAGACTAAGATAACACTGGACGAGGATAAAATATAGGTTATATGTTTTACTCTGGGAGAAGTCACTTACATGAGAAACAATGACGCAAAAGTTCCTGCTCCAAGGATCCACACCCAGGCTGCGCTCTGTGATTCAACCAGAACCAAAAGATAAAGCCTGCTGGACTCCAACCCAAACACCACACCCTCACTTATGCACCTGTGACCACACCCGTTTGGGCATGATCAGTGCCATAGGTGCAGCCTGGTGGACCTCTCACTACAGATCTGGCTGGTGAGACTCGCATCTGGGGTAGGAGAGGAGGGATAACCCAGTTCCTGAGATAGGGATCCTGCCTGGGTCTCCCTCAGCCTCCTCTTGAGGTGATGGTGTAGATGGAGGCTGCGAAACCGCAGTCTGTTTGCTGTAGGCGGGCACAAGGAACGTGACTGAGTTGAAACAAATTAAGCCTCCAGGGTAGATTCTCCTCTGCTTTTGGTCCAGCACTGAAAGGCCACCCAAGCCAAAGTAATCTCCAGTGATCCTCAGTCCCAGCTCTTCCTTTTTCCTCCCATGAGCCTAGGGTACCAGTGCAAGACTCTTACCTTTCATTCCACAAATCCAAGGTCATCGTGGTGACCATTATCTCTCGCTGCCTAGTTTCTTTGCTCCACGAAGACTGGCGTAACTCATGTGCAATGTTAGCTCCCTGACTTAACAGGACAGAGTGCATCTCACACTTTGCACCGTCAAGATCTTCAAAACAGACAGCAAGGATATTTTCCTTAAAGAAAGTAGAGCTTTGGAAAGGTATTGCAGTACAGCTCAGTTGAAAGAGGAAAGATTTTTGGTTTTTATCAATTGTGAGAAATTTGCTTATGACTTTAAAACTTTTATGATCACGAGTCCTTTGCTATCAAATAAAAAGAGATGTTCAGGCATCCTAGCCCAGGCAAGCAGGAGGCCCTTGAACCCAGCTCAGAGAAGCACCAGTGTTCCACAAGGACAGTTACATGTCCCAGCTGTTGTTTTGTTCTTGTTTTAAGATTTATTTTTTTAAATTGTGTGTATGGGGAGGGGGGGTAATGTACACATAAAGGTAGGGGCCTGTAGAGGTACCATTGTCCAGACTAAAATTTTAATGACTCCCTCTCTGTTTAATATTTTTTACTTTTGCACCAATTGTTCATCAGCCTCCTCGCTGGTTTTATAACCGCTATTCCCATCCCAATCTGGAGGCAATGTGTATCTAGCAGGGAAAACTCCATACTCTCTTCAGTTGCCAAAGGCCATGCACAGTGTGCATCTCCCATCAGCCTCCCAGAGGTTATCTGCAGTGGAACCCCTGTCCAGCACATGGTATCTTCAGGACACCATAGGTAACTGCACACGCTGTACAAGAGAGCTTTAGGGGAACCCTGACAGGACAAAAAGATCCAGAGGAGGAGACAGATTCAGAGATAAACACCGTGGGTGTGTTGTTTGTTGTTTGTTTGGGCCACCACAGCCTGCTACATTTTGTTAACACTGGGTGGGCCTTGGCTCAGAGTCTTTACAAATGTTATATTTGCTTTCTCTTAGAAGCTCTCATCTCTTCTTTCATTTGCTTGTCTGCTTATACATCCCCTTGGAAAGTCCTTTGTAGTTGTTCTTTTTTTACTCTTTTGGCTCTTTTTTATCTTTGTTATTTTAGGCTTCTGCCACCCAGCTCCCAAATAAATACACAGAGAATTATTCTTCCTTATAAATGTCCAGCCTTAGCTTACCTTGTTTCTAGCCAGCTTTTCTTCACTTAAATTTTCCTGTCTACCTTTCACCTCTGGGCTTTTATCTTTCTCTACTTTTCTTTACTTCTTACTCTGTGGCTTGCCATGTAGTTGGATGGCTGGCCCCTGACATCCTCCACCCCTCCATTTTTGGTCCTTTTTCATGTTTTTCCTTGTTTATTTATACTCTCTGCCTGCCATGCCCTCCTATCCTTTCTCCTTCCTTGCTATTGGCTATGCAGCTCTTTATTAGACCATCAGGTGTTTTAGACAGGCAAAGTAACACAGCTTCACAGAGTTAAACAAATGCAACATAAAAGAACTACATGCCACCACATGCCAGGCAGTGGTGATTCATGCATTTAATCCCAGCACTCGGGAGATGGAGGCAGGCAGATCTCTGTGAGTTCAAGACCAGTCTGTGCTAGAGTGAGTGCTGGGACAGGCTCTAAAACTACACAGAGAAAATCTGGAAGAAGAAGAAGAAGAAGAAAGCAACACATTTTTGTATCACTAAACAAATGTTCCACAGCATGACAAATATGTCTTAAATATTCAAATAATATTCTACAACAGTACTATTCTACCTTGTCCCTTTCTTCTTTGTCCTTCTTTTATTTATTTTTGTCCCAAGTGTTATTCACCATCTGACAGTGTAAATTTGTTTCCTTGTGCCTTCCCTCCCTAGAGTTGAGTCTTTATGTCAATAGTGACACGTTACTTTTCACTGCTTAATGATTGGAGTTCTTCTGGAGACAAGTAGACATTTTTTATATAAATTAACAAATAAAATACTCCACTTACATGTTTGTGTATTAACTCTCTTCTGTCTATTGAACATTACGTTTTGAATACTAAATGTGTGTGTGGGGGGGTGTTACGTGAGAGCTGACGCTGCCCCTTTCTCCTGAATTTAAGTGTTTCATAAATAGAACATTACGTTTTTTAAAAGACCTTTTGTGTTACAGGATATAGGCTGGTTTGATGATCATAAAAATAGCACTGGAGCATTGACCAACAGGCTGGCCAGTGATGCTGCTGATGTTAAAGGGGTGAGCACTTCCTGTCTTGGATGTCTCTGTTCTGTTTTGATCCATAGCATGAGACTGCTTTTTCCTTATAGGTGTTGGTAACTGTCCCTAAGAAAATATAAATAGGGGCTGGCAGGAAAAAAATGTAAATATTTAACCCACTGGGACACATGCCTTGTAGCTAAGGTACACAATTAAATATATATATATATATATATATATATATATATATATATATATATATATTGCATAGTGTATAACTTTTTTTGTTTTGTTTTGTTTTGAGACAGGATTTCTCTGTATTGCTTTGGAGCCTGTCCTGGAACTAGCTCTGTAGACCAGGCTGGCCTTGTACTCACAGAGATCCACCTGCCTCTGCCTCCCGAGTGCTGGGATTAAAGTCATGTGCCATCAATGCCCAGTTGCATAGTGTATAACTTAAAAGCATCCTTTTGATAAGGTCCACCTACAATAGTTATTGGAAAAAGGACCTCTCTGTGGTACCCTGTGCAGGAGGCTTATCTGAGGTGTGAATGCTGCTAACAGAAGGGAAAGTATTAATAAGTCCATCTGTTTTACAGCTCAGTCAATCAACAGACAGTTGTAATTGCTACTTGTGAAAGGACACATTGTACCTCTTGTCAGGATCTTTCTAGGTGTTACAATTCAAAGCAAAGGGGAGAAAATCCTCCTTAAAATGATTGTAAAAAAAAAAAAAAACCACACATATTAAAAATTATAGCTGCATAGAGGGAATAACTTTGAATTCTCTCATTATCAGATTTTTTGATTTCTGTCTGAACTATAGTTTCTTCTATACCCACCACTTCATAACAATAGTCTTCAAGAAGATGGTGTGAAAGCTCGAACATGTGTTTGCTATTGTGTCCCCCTCAACCCTGAGCCTTTGTGTCAGTCCTTTACCTTTCAAGCTGCCTATAAGACAGAATTATACAGATGACTTTTCAGGTTGCAGATGGGGCTTCTGTTTAAACAGATTGGAATGTGAAATAACATAGGTAAGTTGGAAAGTTCTTCAAAGTCTTATAAATCTCAAGAATCATTTTATATATATATATATATATATATATATATATATATATCTTTTTAAATGAATAAATCAAACACTAAAGACTTATGATGTTGTGTAGGACAAAGTGTACAAACAATACTTAATTATGTATTTCATGTAACAGATAGGACTTTTGCCCTCATACAGTCTGCTTGGTAGGTCAGACTATCAATAAAGCAAAAGGATGATTGGAGGCAGGATATAGAGTTAGGTAGTGACTGCCTAGATGTTGGGAGGGAGAGAGAGAGGGAGGGAGGGAGGGAGGGAGGGAGGGAGGAAGGGCGGATGACCTCAGTGAAGTCATGCAGGTGGAGGCCTGATGGAAGGGAAAGTACTGTCCTAGTTCTTCTAGGAGGACTATTCTAATAAGATCGGTGAGCTGTCACACCTTCCTCAGATAGCAAGATTTTGTCATCTTTGGATTTCTTGATTCTTTGGCCCTGTGACCTAACAAAGCAGGATCTGCCTATGTCTTAAATGTACAGCCAGGGGCTGGGCATTGGTGGTGCATGCATTTAATCCCAGCACTCTGGAGGCAGAAGCAGGCAGATCTCTGTGAGTTCGAAGCCAGCCTGGTCTACAGAGTCCTGGACAGGCTCCAAAGAAATACAGAGAAACCATGTCTGGAAAAACAAAAACAAAAGGTACAGCCAGGGAAATGCCTCTGCTATACTCCTGGGAGATGCTCTAAGTGCTTCTGCCCATCATCAGCTGCATGAATTCTGTGTAGGATTATACACACCAGGGGCACCCTCACATCCCCATCCTGCAGTCTCCCTGCTTGCTTCCCTTGATCTTCACATAAGAAATGTGCAGAAAGAGCTTTTTAAAAGTCATTCTACTCCTTGACCTGTGCACACCGTAGCAAAGGGTCTCAGTATACGGTTAGGTGAATGCAACACACACACACACACACACACACACACACACACACACGCATGCATGCACACGCACGCGCGCACGTGCACATACGCACATGCACACACATTTTTCATAATTTTTTCACTGTGTATTTTTTTCAAATCCAAGTAAATGAAACTAGTGTTTCATATAAGCCCAGGTATATTTTAATACCCTTAATGAAAAATGCTAGTCTTAATTTATAAGCAATTAGGTGCCTATTGTTGAAACTGCCACCATTGTCAGATCAGTCTCTTTTACACAGCTTGCTTTAGTGATAGTGCTTTGATAGATGAAGATATCTTGGTACTGAAGAATCAGTCAGGCCAGGGGAGAGGGCTCAGTAGGTAAGACATTGTCTGCAAACATGAGAACCTGAGTTCAAATCCACAACACTCAATTAAAAAAAAAAAAGAAGCCAGGCATGACTGAATGTGCCTTTAACCTCAGCATTGGGGGACAGAGACAGGTGGACCCAGGAGCTCTTGAGCAAGCTATGGTTAATGAGAGCCCCTATTTCAAGGCAATAAGGCAGAGAATGATAGAGGAAGCCACCCTACATCCTGTTCTAGCCTCCATATGGGTGAGTATACCACATACTCTTAGAGATGCACCCTTCAAGCACACATGCACACATATAACTCGGCACAAACACACCAAATAAAAGAAAGGGGAATCAGAATAGAGAGGAAAATCTGAGTTCTGGGTTATTGATATATTTTCATGTTTGTGTAGAAGTAGGGGAAATTTTCATTTTAGAAACACAATAAACTCAAAGGTAAAGCAGTGCTTTAGTAACTGACAAGATAATTAGCATATTTGCATGAAAGAAAATTGTCCTAATTCTTAGGAGTACATGGATTTTACAGTTGATATAAAATTGGCTCTGTAATTTGTTGTGTTTTTCAGGCTATGGGTTCCAGGCTTGCTGTAATTACCCAGAATATAGCAAATCTCGGGACAGGAATTATCATATCCTTAATCTATGGCTGGCAATTAACTCTTTTACTTGTAGTGATTGTTCCGCTCATTATATTGGGTAGCCTTATGGAAATGAAACTGTTGTCTGGCCAAGCTCTGAAAGACAAGAAAGAGCTAGAAGTTTCAGGGAAGGTGAGTCAAACTAAGTGTATTTCTTCCCTAGCAGAAAAGCGATTCTTGGTGGTGGTGGTGGCTAATTTCCTGTTGCCAGCTGTGCTCTGGGGAAGTCGTGCTAACCATTCTTCCCGGAAAACTTGAGTTTCCTGCAGAAAAAAAAATGGGCAACACCTCTCCCAGCTGGAAGACTGGCAGCTGTTTTTCCCTTTGCCCTGGCTTCCAACTGCTTCCTCTGCCTTCTCCTGGGTTCCCATCCAGCCCTCTCTTTCCTTCCATGCTTTTCTTTCTCCCCGTTTCTTCTCCCCACCTTCTTGGGTTTTCTGTCTTTCTCTCTTTAAGCCATTCCTGTGTTCAGGGATGTAGACACATTTTGTGGTGTGTGACTGCAGAGATTCAGTATGGAAACGTTCTAAGAGTATTTATTCTCTCCATTTTAGACTTCTGCTCCTCCCTCCTTTCATGCCTCCTCCCTCTCACATCTGTTCTCCTTTCCTTGTCCTGTTTGTTGTGCTCCCAAAGCTATTGGTTAATTGGGGTTTTGTTTGTTTGTTTTGTTTTTTTCATAGCTTAACAAATGCTTTTGTGGGGCAGGTGAGTGGGTTTGGGTTTCCAGTGGGTGTGTTTGGTACTTTGTCCCCTAGCCATGCACCTCACTGACATCAATGATGAGGTGGGCCCTGGAGGTTGGTTAACCCAGGTCTTCATCCTTTGAGAGAAATACTTAAGGCCGGCTTTCTTGCCTCCAACCATTGTTTCTGGTATGAGACTCTGCAGCATGAATGCCCTGAGGGTGTTCTGGCTCAAGCAACTTTAGTTAACAATGTTTATTGTTATGTCTGTGGTTTCTTTATGTCTGTGGTAAAGACTTTTCATTTGAGGAAAAGTATTATGACTTTATAGTACTGATATGCTTAAAATGCTGTAGAGATGGTGGGGAGATGACCAGTCCTAAGAACCAGGTGTCTGATACAGGCTCCTCATGAAGTTACTTCAACATGAGTAAGGAAAGGGTACAGATGGAGATGGATGGATGTATCTATGACAGATTTTTCAGAGTCATGGTCAGGGTCAAGGGACTGTGGTACCAAGAGTTAATGATGGTGGCTATACCAGCCATCTTACTTAATATTAAGAACCAACCTCATTGTTATAATTCTCATGTTACCACTTATTATTAAATAGATGGCCTATAGCCACCATCATCTTATGTGTATGTGTATTCTCTTACTTTAATGCTGTCAGTGACTGTGCAGAATTATCGCTGTTAGAGAGTTGATGAGGCCCAAAGATTAGAGAGATCCTAGATCTTGTTCAAAGTCACAAGATAATGGACATCTCACTGGTCTATGCCCTCTAGTCTGATCCTCCTATATTCTATATTCTTCACACAAAATCCATTCTCATACCTATTAGATACAAGTCTGATTGTGCTAACTGGCACTTCCGATCTTGGAGTGCCTTCTAACCGGCTGCACACAGCCCAAGCTTTTATCCCCGCTGCAGACCGGATGTGGCCTAGTCCTTGATACCTGTTTTCTTCCTGCACTCCACTTCTCATTGTCCCCACTGATACAGCCACCAGGGGCCTTGTGAAATCCTTATTGCAGTCCTCTCTGATTCCCTTGGACCTCACAGATGGACTATTATATCAGCCAGGTCTCTGAGTTGTATTTTCAGGGGCCATTAACACTCTCGCTGAATGCATGCCTCCTCTCTGCCTTGGACAGTTCTGACCTATTTCCTTATTAGTGAATGGTGTGTCTTCCTTGCTAAAACATAAGCTCCATGAAGGACAAGCCTGAATCTAATGATTTGCCTCCAAAGGAATGAGGTAAACTTGAGATTTTAAGCAGTTCTGTGTAATTTCACAGAACACATATACTCAAATATGAGATATCAAGGGTTGCTCATATCCCAACTGTGAAATGTTAGGGCCTTCTTACATCCTGACGGTGTGGGATCACAGGTGGCCCTTGTTCCCTGTGTTTGACCTCAGAGCCTCAGTCATGGTGCCTTTGAAGTTAAGGGTCTTACCGTTTGTGTTCTGTGATATCAGAATGCACTCATAGCCTAGACTGTCTAAGGCTTATGCTTGGCAGTGTTCAGTCATGTACTGACTAATGGGCACTTACTGGAAACAGATGTAGCTTCTTTGTTTTGTTTTGTTTTTCAGTCTTGAAAGCCATAGTCAGACATGAACTTTTGAAGGCAGCATGAAAAGGGTAAAGTGGCTCATTATTTTTTTTTCTCCAAATTCATGTATTTTCCTTTCTCCAAAGCTATTTAGAAAATTATACTTTCTGAATGAAATAGTATCATTTTTTTATTCTTTCAACTAAAAGTTCTTCATTTGAGGAATTTCTTACTCTTAAAAACTTGAGATTGAAGCAATAAGGAATCAAGCTTCTAGTTAAGGTTTTTCCTAATTGCTTAATTGTGCCTCTAAATGAAGGGATAGTTCTGTCATTTCACTGACCATACAAAGTCTGTGCCTCATTTTTATTAGCGATATACACTGAAAACACATGATATTTACAAACTCATGAAAGTCCAAGCACCCTTGCCTTAGGAAATGATGCCCAGGAAGTCATTCAGACATTCATTCAGGTTGACCATGGAGCTTGTTTTCCATCACACATTGCTGTGAATTGTTCAGTTGTTTTACTAACCCACAAAAGCTCTCCCATTTATTTGAACCTATATAATTAAAAATATTTTAATGTATCTGAACAAAGATGGTCTGGGTATTTTTTCCCCGTAACATCTTATTTTCTTTCAGGATTTTCTAAAATGCATACATATTTAGTGTGTGAGTATGCAATTTAGTGTGTGGGTATGCAGTTGTATGTGAGTATGAGTGCTTTTGTGTATGTGTGGGAATGTTAGAGGTCAGTCTCAGGGGTCATTTCTCAGAAGCCATCCACCTTCTCTTTGAGTCAGTCCCTCAGTGGTTAGATTAGGCTCGCTCAGTCCCAAGGATCCTCCTATTCCCACTTCCCCAGTACTGATATCACAAGGAGGAAGAGAAAGTGTGTGTGTGTGTGTGTGTGTGTGTGTGTGTGTGTGTGTGTGTGTGTGTGTGTGTGTGTGTACTGAACATCCAGAAATGATCTGCAATGGCCAAACCTTCAGATTTAAGTGAATTTATAAGGTGAGCAGCTAGCAAACCAGAAAATAATAGCAGATAGATAGAAGCAACAGATAATTAGCAACACATCATCAAATACAAACACACAGCAGAAATGACTAAAGTAGACTGATTGAGAGAGCAAACAAAGGTAACATCGAACCAGGACTTACTTGAGTATTGAACTCAAGAACTGGGAAAGAAGCAGCCATGCTGGAGATACTGATTGAATGTCCTTTTCTTGAATGAGCTTCTTCTAGAGCACTGGGTTCCATTCCCAGCACTCACACAGCAGCTCACAACCCTCTGCAACTCCAGTTCCCGGGCATTTGATGATCTCTTTTGGCTTTCATGGGCATGGCATGCAGGTGGTACACAGACATACAGGAAGACAAAACACATTGATACTAAATATACATAAAATTATTTTTAAAATTTCTGTTTCAAATGTAGGTAATTCATATAGGATTCAATGGAAAAGGGGTTTTACATTCTTCATAAATTATAACATAATGGAATGTATCATTATTAAAGTCAGTTCTGACCTATGAAAGAGCCTGAGAGAATATCTGAACCAGTAAAAGGAATGTCTCTGGTGACCTCTAGTGTTAGAGTTAAAGAGATGATAGAGACCTTCTATTTATCCCCTTCATTTGCATGAGACTGGTAGTTTGTCTCTTGGCTGACAGACTGAAATCTCATTGGGGATATTTCTATTTTCCACATGCCTTTACTCACAATCCAAATTGTTGCAAAGAATGTATGTACTAAACAAATATCCTTGAGGGAGTTAATATATTATTAGATCATAATTGGATGAAAGAAATTTGGGAGAGTGTATCTGCCATGTGCCTAAGGAATAGTGAGTTTTCAAATACCACTAAAAGATATGTTAATGATTAATAGCAATGAATTAGACAGTAATACAGTAAGACATCAGACTTTAAAGATGAATAAAAAGGAACAAAGATATAAACAAGAAGAAAGTTACAGAATCTAGTATATATTTTTCAATAATAACTCTAAATGTAAATGGTCTTAATTCTACAATTAAAAACAGATTGGATAAATGGATTAGAAGAAAGATGCGACAATATATAAGAAAGCTCACCTATAAAATGCATAATCTGCAAGTAGATGGGTGGACAGCAATAGTCCAAACAAATGGAATCTGCAACCAAGAAGAGAAAACTCAGAATACACAAAGGAGATTGCTGTTTATGAAGGGAATGATTCATCAGAAGATAATTTTCAATTCACCAAGTATCAGAGCCCCTGACTTCACCAGTGAACCTGAAAGGAGATCTGGGCTCCAAGTAGTGTGTGAACTGAGGATCCCACTCTCTCTGGAACATTATCTGGACTTAATAGAATTAACAAGTTGGCTTTCTCTGATCACAGCAGGGGAAACTGCAAAAGCAATGCTCAGAAGGAAGTTTATGGCAGTGAACTCCTACACCACAAAGAGATCCCATCCTAGTGATGTATTCAAGTCTTAAGAAATCAGAACGAACCAAAACCAAAGGAGGATCAGGACACAAGCAATCAAAATAAGCAGAAAAGAACACCATAAAGGACCCAGGAAGAAAGATGGCTCTGTGGGTAAGAACACTCACTGCCTTTCTAGAGGACCCAAGTTTGGTTCCCAGCGCCAGCATCAGGCAGCTCAAGCCTGCCTGTAACTCTAGCTCCAGGGGATCCAACACCTTCTGACCTCAACACACAAACATTAAAATAAGTCTTTAAAAAAGTAGTTAAACAAAGCCAGTTAGGATAAGCCAAAAGATAAGATCAAATAAATAGAACTTAAGAAGGAAAAGTTATCCTTAATACTGCTGAGAACTCAGAGGATCATTGGGGGATTTTTAATTTTAAATTTTTTTATTACTCTTTATGTATCTGTCTTGTGCAGATGTAAGCAGATGCCCCCAGAGTTGGAGATACAGGTGGCCATGAGCCACCTGATGTGGTTATTGGAATTGAATTGGGTCATCTGGAAGAGCAATATGAGCACTTAGCTGCTGAGTCATCTCTCCAGCCCCATTAAGGGACATTTTTAGGGTAACATGTTCATTGTGTAGCAAATTTAGAGGAAATAGAATCATTTCTGGACAGATATGACCTACCAAATTTGAATAGAAGGAATTTAAGAAGCTAAGTACATTGAAAACATGAGATTGAATGGTAGTAAGTTTCCCAACAAAGAAGTGCACAATACAACAAAAAAGAGAAAGGGAAGGAACCTCTCCATATCCATTCTAGGAAAATAACATTACCCATCTACTAATGTCTGATAAGGACAGAACAGAAAAAAACAAACAAACAGAAAAATAACAACAATAAAAAAACAGAAAAATATATAGGGATGTCTCTGGTTAAACAGATGCAAACAACTTCACACAATGTATGCAAAGTGAACATGAAAGCTGGTTAGGAAAAACTTGTGCTGGCCAACATAGTGGATGCTAGTGATCTTGACATTCACAAGGCAGCCAGGAAGAATTCTATTTGCCAATCAGGGCAAATGAGTTAAAGATACTCCAGGCTACATAGTGAGACGCTATCTCAAGAAATCAAAACAGGAGAAGTACACCATGTTAGAGAGGGAATTATTCCTAGGATGCGAGAATAGCTCAAAGTGCACAATTCAGAAATGAGGTACATGAGTAAACACATAGGAGATCTAGACACAGCATTTGAGAAAATTCCACATCCTTTCTTGATGAAAGACCTTAGTGTAAAAGGATCATACCTCAACACACTAAAGGTTGTACATGGCAAATATATAGCTAATATATTGAACAAAGAAAAAACTGCAAGCATTTCTTATAAAGTTGGGAGTAAGACAAGGATATCTAATATTATCACTGTTCAATTTTAGCTATAGATATCACACATGAGAAAAATTATAGAAAGAGAAAAAAGTACAATCCTGCTTTCCAGATATTTTAGACAGAAAAGCACTTGCTGCCAAACTACCACAACTGGTGAATTCACTAGAGAAGCATGTACATGATATATATTCATGTGTATATATAATATACACTATATATATATTCATGTGTAAATATCTATAGAGAGGCATATACAATATGAAAATATCAGTAGCTCTTCTACACAGCTACCCACGGCTCACTAAGACAAATGAGAAATGCCATTCTTAACAGCTACAACAATCAAGTCTCTCAGAGCGATCCCAATTCCTGCTATATACTACAAATGAAGAGGGAACCTGAAGACAGCAAAGGACGGACAATCTGTGCTCCTGAGTTGGGAAATGAAGAGGTCCCCATTAGTCAAAGCATCTTGCAAATTCATTTTCTACAGCCCAAAACCAGAAAGATGAATGATCAAACAAAATGTGGTCTATGTATATCCTTGGATGTTATTCAGCCAAAAAAAAAAAAAAAAAAAAAAAAAAAAAAAAAAGTAAAATTCTGTCATTCTGTCATTTACACATTTACAGGAAAGTAGAGTTGGGGTAAGTTGTGTTAAGAGAGACAAGTGTATGTTTTGTTCCATGTGTAGAATGTAGAAGATGAGAGAGAACCTAGAAGGGATCTAGAAGGGCTGAGCAGAGAGTGAAGAGTAGATGGACATGATGTGTGGATATATGAAAGTATCAGTGAATCCTGTTCGTTTGTACATTTAATATTTGTTAATGACAAACAGCATTTACACTCTCTGACCTAGTGTTTTTATTTTCAAAAGATTTTCTTAGGAAATTCTTAGGAAATGTTCTTAGGAACATTTACTAAGTACTTAGTAAATGTTCACATTCAAAGATATGGATGGAAATAAGAATCCAAACTGCTGCTAGGAAAGAAAACACACTGCATTATTAAGGTTGTCTAAATTACCACACTGCATGTATTTAATGACCTTGGAAATCTTCTCTCAAAACTCTTAAAGAAGTCAGAATCGATTTTATTATTAAAGATGTGCATACATTGTCTGAGCAATGTTTAAGTGAATGTGTAAAATGTTTAACTTGAACTTTTATTTTGTAACATAACTCTAGATATGTTTTAAAACAACAGAACTTATGAATACATACCACAATTTTAAAAATTATGTAAAACCAAAAAAAAATGTTAAACTTGGTATTATAGTACATAGCAATATTAACAGCACTAAAGTTTTTGAGTTTTAGGTACGTGTTGCATACTTTGCAAGACCATGTCTTAATAAATGAATAAACTAAAGCAATCATAAAGTTAAAGTAAGTCCATTGTAAAAGAAACACCTATAAAGAACACACTGAATTCTCAAGTATGTTTTGTAAAGCCAAGTAAAGACAGTGGGTCTGGGCCATCTTCAGTTTTGCTCTCTATAAGGAGGGCTAAGGTTATTTGATCTCCTATACAGACCTGAAGTCCAGTTTGAGAAATTACTTAATATTCTCTTTCAGTAGAGATACTCATAGGTAATTCTAAATGCTAAATACATTATAAAATGACTGCTATTAATGTAATTTATGGAATTCAAATAACTGCCTGTTGAATCTCGTGCCTGTTGCATTACAGATTGCTACTGAAGCAATAGAAAACTTCCGCACTGTCGTCTCTTTGACTCGGGAGCAGAAGTTTGAAAATAAGTATGCCCAGAGCTTGCAGATACCATACAGGTAAGAAGCCCTGAAGAGTGGACCAGGGCTCTGGGGAGTTTTCTAGTAAGGACTTCAGGTTTCAGGATTGCCTTTGCCAGGTGGTAGCACACAGGAAGGAAGTACTAGAAACACTGGAGACTATCAAGAGAGATGAAGAGACCTGAGCTTAGGTGGGCACCGGGAGGAAGACGCAGTGACTGTTAGATCCAATGGGGGAGAGAAGAGGACAACTGTTAAGGCCTCTGGTGTCCAGCTGGGATAATGACCCTGCTGTTTGCTGGATTTGGGGTGAATGTTCTCTATGGAACATGAAATTGGGGGTGTTGTGGGGCACTGAGGGGATCTCTCAAGGATACTTTCTGTTCCTTTCTTTCCTGGGGAGACCTACTCTTCCCCTGTACCCCAGCTGTATCGGTGAGGGCTTTGAAAGAAAGGTGAACAGGGCATGAGCAAGCCCAACCTTGGAGTTTCAGCTTCTAGACCTTTCTGAAGGAGTTCCAAGCACCTTTGTCATAATCATGGCAGGCCCTCTTTTTCTGGGGAAAGTCTCCATTTGAAATCCCAGTAAGTGGCAAAGACAAGAAGAAAGTTGTGGGTTTAGAAGGAGTAGGAAGGTCCAAGGTCTGCCTCTCCCTACCCTGTTCCTGCCCAGGCCTCCCACCTAAGATCCTTGTTGCTCAGACATCCCTGGGACGTTCATGCTGTGTAAAGCCTCCCTGGCTGCAGATACTTCAGTGCACTGATGACATGTACCTCGTCTAGATCCCCAAGTGCAAGGACATGCCTGCTGCCCTGTCACCCACAGCTTGAGGTGTTGGGTTCAAATGGGGGGAAGGGAAGGACCATTCATTTGATAATGTAAAACAGCTCTTTTCAGGGATACAGGCCTGGTTATCAACCCACTGAGATGTAATAGTCCTACCTTAGAGTCTCAAAGATGAGGCAGCTTCCTAAGTTTATATAGCTAAATCAAAGGGGCTCCAGCTGAATTCTTTTTTTTTTTAATTCAAAAGCAATCTTATTTTACATATCAATCCCCCATTCCCTCTCCCTCCCATCCTTCCATGCCCCTTCTAAGCCCCCCAACCCACCCCCTACTCACTCCCCAAGGATAGTGATTCCTTCTATGGGGGATCATCTAAGTATCTCACACATTTAGGGCAGGACCTAGGCCCTCCTCCACGTATCTGGGTTGAAATAGTATCCGTCATAGGGAATGGGCTCCCAAATTCCCATTGTGCGCTAGGGATAAATACTGGTTCTACCGTTGGAGGTCCCACGGATCGCCCAGGCCTCCTGACTGGTACCCACAATCAGAGGGCTTGATTTTTGTTCAGTGATGGTTCTCCAGTTTTATGACTGGGGTCCATGTGCTCTCAGTTGGTCAGGTGAGCTTGTTCTGGGCTTCCCCTTGTTCAGGTCAGCTGTTTCTGTGGGTTTCTCCAGCCTGGTCTTGACCCCTTTGCTCATCTCTCCTCCCTTTCAACAACTGGATTCCAGGAGTTCAGCTCAGTGTTTAGCTGTGGGTGTCTGCTTCTGCTTCCATCAGCTACTGGATGGAGGCTCTAGGATAGCATATAAGTTATTTACCAATCTCATCATCAGGGAAGGGCATCAAAGCTGGCCTCTCCACTATTGCTTAGATTGTTAGTTGGGGTTATCCTTGTGGATCTCTGAACATTTCCCAAGTGCCAGATTTCTCTTTAAACCCTCTGTGGAATCTATTGTCCCTGTCACTCCTGTGTGCCCACTGCCAACCCACAGTAAGTTACTTGAATGACTGAGAAATGAAGTGGAGTGTATTTGGGTTCTTTTCTTTCCAGAAATGCTTTGAAGAAAGCACATGTCTTTGGGATCACATTCTCCTTCACCCAGGCCATGATGTTTTTTTCCTATGCTGCTTGTTTCCGGTTTGGTGCCTACTTGGTGGCACACCAAATCATGACTTTTGAAAATGTTATGCTGTAAGTATCGGGTCCTTAAGTAGATAATTATTTGATATATTGCTTTGTTCCAAGCCGTTGAACCAATGAAATTTGCTGACACAGCAGTCTTAGATTTGTAAAAATCCATGTTCTAATTATTAAAGACCAAAAGAACCTTGTGAAAAGTGGCCATTAAAAAAAAAAAAAATCCCACGACAGGTGATGGTGGCACACACCTTTAATCCTAGCACTTCGGAGGCAGAGGCAGGTGGTCTCTGTGAGTTCAACAGAGAAAGCCTGTCTTGAAAAACCTATCAAAAAAAAAAAAAAAAAAAGTTTAACATACGAGGGAATCAGGCCAGCTCCTGGCTATGGTCCTTCGTCTTTTGGTGTATCAGTGCCATTGCCAGTGGAGCTAAGCAGGTGGTAAGAGGTGTCATCTAGGCTGGCTCTGGAAGGGACCATGGTGGTGTTCTCACTGTTCTGTATGTTTTCCTCTATGCAGAGCAGTGGTCACCCAGCACCCTGCTCCTGGCTGTAGAACTGGCAGCTTGCTTCCACAGCAGCTGTGGTGGTGTGCACATATTCTTTTTCCTGTGTGTCTCAGGGTGTTTTCAGCTGTTGTCTTCGGAGCCATGGCAGCTGGGAATGCCAGCTCATTCGCTCCTGACTATGCCAAAGCGAAAGTGTCAGCATCGCATATCATCATGATCATGGAAAAAGTCCCTGAAATTGACAGCTACAGCATGGAAGGCCTGAAGCCTGTGAGTTCATTCTTTCAGTTACAGGACCTGCTAACCCCACGGATAAAAGTAGTTGAAGAAGAAATTTAATAAAATGTGTGCTTTTTAAGATATTGATTGTAACATGAAAATTTCCAGGTCATGGGTTTATTTCATTAATGTATATTAAAATCCAGTACACAGAGAGATTAAAAATACTATCCTCTCTATAGGCTAATTATGGAGGAAAAGCTTTATTGCATTTGTGTTATATACTTGGATGATGTTAATGCCTCGTGGCATGAATGCATAGATTTTTCTTTTTTTAAGTTTTTTTTTAAATTCCATTTTTATTTAATTATATATTCGTGTAGATGTCCTTTTGGCACGGTGCACATGCGGAGGTCAGAGGACAATTTTAGGAGTTGGTCTCTCTTTCCACCACGTGGATCCTGGGGATGGAACTCAGGTTGTTAAGCTCAGTAAAAAGGTCTCTACCCACTGAACCATCTTGCTGGCCATGGCATTGATTCTTTTAGAGTCTGTAATAAACAGACTCTTTTTGATATGAAGGTTAATCTCAGTAGAATTTTGCTACATTTGTCTAAGCACTTGACTGGGTCATTTGTTCTCCATGGACAGAACCCATGAGCATGTATGTTAGAACTCTTTCGTTGTTAGGATTCCTAAGCCCTTGAGTGCCTAAAACATAGGGGACTGAACTAGGAGGCCCTGAGCTTTGAGAGCTGGGGCGCCTATTGCTCCAGACTTTAGAAGCCGGAGACTATGGATACTAGGTGCTCGTGTTAGGTGTTTATTGCTCTGGGCTTTAATCATCAACTGCCCTGGCCATTTGAAACTATTATAAGTCTCACTGGCCAACAGCAGTACACAGGACTTGCTTAGTGCTACAGCTGCTGGACAGGACTCCAGCATTAGGACCCCTGGCTCCTACAGCAGGGAGTATTACACTCTTGAGCCTAAGGTATGGGGACCTTGGTCTTTAAGCTTTGCAGTTCAACCGAGGAGGGGGCCTAGAGTTCCACATCTGTCACTCTTCACAGTCCTCATCATCGCTACTTCCACTCCCATGCACGCCATCCTCTAGAGCTCTTCAGCTGCCCGTCCCTGACACTGCAGCCATTGCTACACTGGTGCTGCTGCTGTCTGTATTGTCAGCCCAGTCAACTATGCTAAGGAGAAAGAGCAAAAGTAGCAAGCAAAGACCTGTCTATCAAGACTATATGGACGGTAATTACGGGCCTTCTGCTAGACCACTAGTACCACTAGTGGTCCTGGGTGAACATGCTTTCTGGAGACCCTTGTGACTTCCACAGCAAGCTGTTTGAAACAGTTGTGGCAGGAAATAGTGCTCTTCCCCATTGAAACTGCTTTTGCAGCAGGTGGTTAATTGCAATACTTCTTTCTTCAGCCATTCATGTGTTCCACACAGCCAAAATGGCATGAAGGCTGTTCATGCAGCTGTCAAAGGGGCTGCTTAGCTGATAGCCTTCTGCTCAAGGAAGCCAGATAATTAGAAGGGCCTGTCAGAGAGCCCATTTTTGGACTCTTTTAGTCATTCATGGGATGGATTAAAGGGGTGTATGCAATAACAACTTAATACTTAGCACAGCTAACAGTACTTAATAGTATTTAACAGTGCTTAAGACTTACCCTAGCACTCAGGGAAAGTCGGGTCCTTTTGATTTATCTTACCTGGCAGCTGGAGGTGGCTAGAGTCAGCTCTACTCTGTTTTAGTATTGTCGTAATTAAATTGACTACTGCTGTTATCATTCTAGAATTGGTTAGAAGGAAATGTGAAATTTAATGAAGTCGTGTTCAACTACCCTACCCGACCCAGCATCCCAGTGCTTCAGGGTCTGAGCCTGGAAGTAAAGAAGGGCCAGACGCTGGCCCTGGTGGGCAGCAGTGGCTGCGGGAAGAGCACAGTGGTCCAGCTGCTTGAGCGGTTCTACAACCCCATGGCCGGAACAGTGGTGAGCATGCTTTTGTACTCAGAACATCTTAGGTTTCATCATTCAAATGCCTGGGTGTTATTAACACTTGTTTTGTTTTCACATCTTTAAATAATAACCCCACTGAGAAGCATCCTCCAGCTGAAGTTTGGGGTGTGAGCTGTACCATCAGTCCTAGACACCTTCTCCATCAACAGTACTCCTCTGTTTTCCTTCAGAAGGAGCCTACTTACCACCCAACTCTCTTGCCTTAGAAGGCATCAAAAATTAAAGTAGCTTGAGAAATAGAAAAGGGTCCTCTTCCTTCGTGAGAAGAATATGAAAGCTAATTTCTGTGTTTCAAGAAGGAAAGGATGTCAGTGAAGACTGGCAGGCTTTCTTTTTGGGCCATCGAACGGCTCCCAAATAAAGACACAGGGACTTATTATTAATTATGAATGCCTTATCTTATGCATGTCCCACTAGCTCTTACAACTTATTTTAATCTGTTTTTCTTCATCTGCATTTTGCCTCAGGGATTTTTACCTTTATTCTGTATGTCCTACTTTCCTGTTTCTTCCCTGTCTGGCTGGCTGATGGCTGGCCCTGGGCATCTCCCTCTCTTTCTTCCTCATTCTGTCTTCACTCTCCTACTTCTTCTCTCTGCCTGCCAGCCCCGCCTATCCCTCTTCTGCCTAGCTATTGGCTATTAAGCTTTTTATTAGACCAATCAGGTGCCTTAGTCAGGCAAGGCAAAACAGCAACACATCTTTACATCATTAAACAAATACAGCACAAGCAAATGTAACACATCTTTGCTTAGTTAAAGTAATATTCCACAATAGGAGTTTGGGTAAGATGAGGACTGAGAAGAATGATGAGGCATGAGATGGCAAACTAATGAACCGTCCCCAACACTTTGTACTGAGTAAATAGGTGATGGGAACAAAGGGCTTAGCATGCCTGCAGGATGGTTGGGAGGAAACATGGAGAGTTAGGGAATATATGGACTCTGAAGCAGTCAACACTGAAAGGAGAGGAAAGAATAGCAGTTGGGCGGGAGACACTTGAGGGACCAAGCTGGAAAGGAGAGATACGGAGGCCCGGGGAGACAGCTCAGCAGTCAGGGGCACTCACTGCCTGTAACTCTATTTCTAGGGGATATGAGTTCCTCTTCTGGCCCATTGGGCCTCCTGTATGCACATGGGACACATATATACACTGAAGCTCATACATGTAAATAAAAATGAGTAAAGCACATATTTTTAAAAGAAAGAATCTGACGCATTCTTTGGCTGTGAATTTAAATCAGTGTTTTGGGACATAGGAAAAAGTGCAAAGAAATAGAATTTGGAGCAGGAAGCTGTTATGTCTGCATTTAGTTACAGGTTGTCCCCATACTCAGAGCTGACAGCTGCCCAGAAATAAGAACAGTGACCTAAATCCTGATAGCCATCAGCTCCAGGGGACCCTGGCTGCAGTAATGACAAAGATGAGGAGAGAATTCACAATTGCCATCCATGGCTTTTTAAACTTCTACACAGTAATTATTCAAAACCAGGCAAACTTTACTCAGTTTATGCTGTAAACTGTGTAGATGTTTTGTATCTTTTTACTTCATTTTTTTTAAAAAAAATGTTGAGTTCTGGTTTTGCACTTTTACATTTTGTTGTTAAAAATTGACCACAGAATTCTAAAAATCCTTCATTACATTTGAAGCAATCAGAGCAGGCAGTGCAGGCATGCAACCAGCATTCTGAGAAATGCCCTCAATAAGTTTTTAGTATACATATATGCATGCATATGAAGGGGACTTATTAGATGGCTTACAGGCTGTAGTCCAGCTGGTCCAACAATGGTTGTTTCACTACAGGAACTCTGAGAATCCAACATTTGTTCAGTCCATGAGGCTGGAGATCTCATCTGGTCTTCAGTATAGGCCAGAATCCAGAAGAAGTGGGCTCTAATGCCAGTGAAGGACTGGACTTGCAGTTGGCAAAGGCCAAACATTTCTTTCTTCCATATCTTTGATACAGGCGGCCACCAGAAGGTGTAGCATGAATTGAAGGTGGATCTTTCCATCTCAAAAGATCTGGGTTAAAAGTGGGTCTTTCTACTTCAAATGATTTAATTAAGAAAAATCCCTCATAGGTGCAGATTGCTTAGGTTTCAATTAATTGCAAATGTGGTCAGGTTGACAACCAAGAGTAGCCAACATGATGGGATTATGTGCATGTGTCGTGAGTCTATAATGGCATTGGCTCTCCGGGAGCTGCAGTAAGCAGTCTATTTGCCCACCTCCTTCCCTCCCTCCCTCTCTCCCTTCCTCTCTTCCTCTCTTCTTCTCTTCCTCCATCCCTCCTTCTGTCTCTCTCTGTCTCTGTCTCTCTCTCTTACACACACACACACACACACAGGAGAGAGAGACAGATTGGGACTCTAAGAGACAAGGTGTTCTGCTTTTTTTCTAGGTCACAGTCCCTTCCTCCATCTTCAAAGCTAGCAGTAGCTACCTCGGCATAGCCCACTCCTGTGCCCCTCTTCCACAGTTAAGAACCTTGGGAATACATGGTTTGCACCAAGATAATCAAGATAATCATTGTATCTTAGAGTTAGCCAATTAGTAGCTTAATTCCACATGCTACTTCAATGCCACTCTCAAAATACACTCACAGTTTTGAGGGATCAGGACATGAGTAATTTTAGAAGGAAGGTCATCCTTTACTTATGGGTCAAAAGCCAAGGTTAAAACATGGGAAATGGGATATTTCTCCAAAGTGCACACTTATGGTATCCATGAGCGAACCTTACAAATCCAAAGTAGTACAAGCAAACCTTTCAGCTCATGGCAACCCCACAGTCTTAGAGTATAATTTTGCTAAGTCTGAATCATGCTAGTGCTGAAATTGATCTGTGAATCCTTGCTCCCAGTTTCTAGATGGCAAAGAAATAAAGCAACTGAATGTGCAGTGGCTTCGAGCACACCTAGGCATTGTGTCCCAAGAGCCCATCCTGTTTGACTGCAGCATCGCTGAGAACATCGCCTATGGAGACAACAGCCGGATCGTGTCCCAGGATGAGATCATGAGGGCGGCCAAGGAGGCCAACATCCACCAGTTCATAGAGTCACTGCCTGATGTATGTTGCTCTCCAAATTAAGATTATCAAAGAAAACGTAGCAGCCAAAATATACTCCACATGTATACAGAGATCTGGCCACAGTCTGTCAGATGTTAAATTTACCTGATCATTTGAGTCCTTGTGAGGAAGCAGCAAAGTTCCACTCAGGAACTGTCCAGGAGGAGGCCAGGTATAGAGCCAAGGCTTGTGGACTGGAGGCACCGACCCTTCAGGAGGATAGTCCCCATTTTCCAAGTCTTCATGGAGGGCCAAGAAGCCATATCTATGTCTTCTGATTCTCCCAAAGAAATAATCCTTACTGTCTCTCCCCATTCTCCATTTCTATCCCATCCATCACTTTGTAGCTCCTATATAGTTTTAAGCCTCATTGTGGAGTTAAGCCAGGCTGATAGCTGGACCCATGCCAGAAAGACAGTTTTCTAATTAGGGCTGAGTCATTGAGAAGACCATGTATTATACAATGTATTATCATTGTGAGTTTCAAGGGCCCCAGGCTATACTTATGAAGTTGATTATTAAAATGTTTCCTTCATCCTGTAAGTTAGACAAATGGGAACACTGGCTCTATCTTAAACTTTTTTAGTCATTTTAATTTTATTGTTTTTAATTCTATGTATATGGGTGTTTTACCTGATGTGTGTCTGTACGCCACATTTAGACCTAGTGTCCATAGAGGCCAGAAGAGGACATCAGATACCATAGGACTGGAATTATGAACAGTTGTGGGCTACCATGTATGTGCTAGAAATTGATCTAGGTCCTCTGGAAGAGCAGCCAGTACTTTTAACCACTGAGCCACCTCTCCAGTTCCAGTTCTTACCCAAACAATATCCTTCCTCTCATTATCACTAGTTGAGTTACTTATTACAGGAAATGCCCTCTATTAACTAAGATTTAATAGCCTCAGGGCAGCCAGGAAGGCAGAGGCTTCATGGGCAAGAATGGCAAGATAAAGTGGCCCTAACTCTCCCTAAGTTATATCTTTTCGTGTGGTTCCTCCCCCCAGATAACTGCTCCTGCTGAGCCCATGACCTGGAAGGAGATGTGTCCCCTTCCCCTCCTCAGTGTAGTCCAGCCATGGGTAATTGACTCTTGAGACTGAAATGCTCAAAGTACAAGTCTACAGACCCCTTTACTAATGAGATTCACTCTTGTCAAAGCTTGAATCCTCACCTTAGAGGTTGTTATTGATGGATATTTTTTGGTCCCTATATTAGCTCCTCTGAATGGAAGAAAGGAAGGAAGGAAGGAAGGAAAGAAGGAAGGGAGAAAGAAAGAAAGAAAGAAAAAAAGAAAGAAAGAAAGGAGGAAAGAACCTGGCAGTCAGAATAGAAGACACAGCAAAGTGACTGTGGTCTCCCACAAGGACCTGCTATTCTGGACTTCTGGTCTACCACTCTGCCATTAAGCCCTGTTCTATGAGCATCTCCTACTAAGTAGTTAGTCCTAGACTTACTCTGCCACCATGTGTTTCCTCTTTCCTACAGAGGTAACAGCATTATCCTCTCTGCTCCCCAAGGATCACTGCTAAGTCAATGCAGTGTGATAGCCTTGCACTCACCCAGGGCAGGACATGTCAGAGATCCTAGACTCTGGGACAGCTGTAGCTCAGGGGTAAATCCCTTCCAAACATCATTCCATTCTCACCAGAACGTGTCTTCTGCACAAATGCAGACCTTGTTCTGCCCACCACAGAACTGGAGTTGCCAGACAAAATAAAGAAACGTAGCATCTTTATGTTGAGCATGGATTTTATAATCAAACTCACAAGAGTCAAAGCTGTGTTTGTGGCTAGTTCTAGCCTGCCAAAGGCCTACAAATAAATAATGCTGTATGTTTTCTGGCTACATATGCTGTTACATTCCCTCCTGCTTCCTGATATTATACACTCTTTTAACCCATGTCTCTGTCATCATATATCAGAATTCGTGACAGTTCTCAGCTATTGAGATTGATAGGGGAATGATTTTAGGAGACTCTAGAATCAGATAAAGAAGGGTCTACTTTAAGTTTAGCGGGATTCCTGAACACATTAAAATCATTTAAACACTGGAGATAATTCAGTAGAAAGACAGCAAAAAGCTAATATTTTAAGGATTTCTTTGATCCGTTTAAAATCATGCAGAGGGTGTCACCTACTGGTGACAAGATGCTTCTGATACTGTGACCAGCTTTTCAAATCATTTCCTCTCTCCTGTCAATCTTTGTTACAAACCCAGTGAAACCATGAGATGGAAGATAATGGAATTGCCATATTCCTGCAGAGAGAAAGTTGGGCCTGTTTACATTAAAGCTTATAATTTGGTGGCCCAAATATTTACTTTTCATAAAGAGAGATTAAGCCTACCAATTAGAGGTATTTTGTTTTTCCTTGTTAATTTAGCTTTCTGTGGACCTATTTTTAGCCTCTGAAACTAAATTTATCTAATTATTCTATTTACTGTAGTGGCACTGTGTTTGCACAGCTCTATTTTCATAACAACCAAATTCTGTTCACAGAAATACAACACCAGAGTAGGAGACAAAGGGACTCAGCTGTCAGGTGGGCAGAAGCAACGCATCGCCATAGCGCGCCCTCGTCAGACAGCCTCACATTTTGCTTCTGGATGAAGCAACATCAGCTCTGGATACTGAGAGTGAAAAGGTGAGGATGTGAGGTGGTGTCTTTCTCCGCCACAGTAGAGAACGCTGAGTCAGATAGCTGAGTATTGCCCTGTTGGCTCCCAGTGGAGTTTAAACATGTCTGCAGCTGGGACTTAGGAGACCTGAAGTGATGAGAGGTAAATTAGTCTTGGACCCCACGTGTTCCAGGATGTCTGTCTGCAGGCTGTATGCTGGCAGTAGTCTGCTCCTGCAGGCGGGTCTCTGCAGCAGCCTGTGAAGAGCTGAAGGGACACAAGGCTGAAGTCCAGCTGTGCCCTAAGACACATGCTGTTGGTGCCTTCCAGCTTGAGAAAGGTTGAGTTTGGCTGTCTGAAAGGCAGATGGTCAGGGGATGTTTCTACTGCTGTAATGGCTTTGGCGTGTGCTTCAGCTTCCTGATGCTCTCTCTGTAAAGCTGGCTAGAGGACTGCTTTAGGGATGTTGTGTGTCTAGGCCGGTGGGTGTTTATACATGGTCAGATGGATGCAATTACCTTACATTAGAACCGCCTGTCTCAGAACTCATCTAAAGGGATTCATTTTTTTCTGATGTAGTAGATCCTTCAGTCTCTAAACTTTATGTTATAGTTCACCTATAACAGAGGTTTTAGATTTTTTTACTAATTGTTGTGGTTTTCAAGACAGGTTTCTCTGTGGTCTTAACTGTCCTGGAACAAATTCTATAGACCAGAATGGCCATGAATTCAGAGATCTCCCTGCCTCTGCCTCCTGAGTGCTAATATTAAAGGCATATATCACCCACACTCAGCATGTTAATTTTTATTATAATGGGTTTTGTTATATTTTATATATATTTATCATTGTACTTTGCTCATATTTACCCCCTGACTACCTTAGTTCATTCATCATCCCACCAAATAGTTCCCTTTCTTCTTGCACAATGTAAAACATATAGTTTTTGTTACACCTAGATCCACATATGAGAGAAAACATGATTATTTTGTCCTTCTTATTCCTATTGCCTACTTTTATTTTCCTCTTCTCCCCTCGACTCTTTCCAGCCTTCACATACCCTCCCTTCTACTTTTATATTGTATACACATTTAAATATGAATTATGCATATGAGAAAAACATGTGGCATTAGCCTTTCTGAGTGGCTTATTTCTTTATGATACCATTTAATTCTCCCTAATGGCCAAATAAAACTCCATTGTGTATATATGCCACATTTCTTTACTGATTCATCATTCATGCACATCTGGCTGGGTTCCTTTGGTGGCTATTACAAATAGAGCATGAGCATAAATGTGCGAGTATCTCTGGTACTAGGACTTAGAACCTTTAGGTACATACTCACCATGGGTGTGGCTGTTACATGTTTCTATTTTTGTTCTTCCACACTGATTTCCATGGTGGATGTCCCAGTTCATATTCCCGCCAGCATATTCTCAACCCTGCCAGAATATGTTGTCCTTTTTCGGTTTTCTTTGTGTTGGTTTCTGACTTCCATATATTAGAATCAGTGTAGTTTTAATATGCCTTTTCTGACAACACAATTAAAGAAGGGCATAGTAGAGAAATCCTGGGTCTGGATTCCTAGGAGGAACTAAAGGAGAATGGATTTTATCATAATCTTTTGTGTGACTGTGAAACAGGTTGTCCAAGAAGCCCTGGACAAAGCCAGGGAAGGCCGCACCTGCATTGTGATCGCTCACCGCCTGTCCACCATCCAGAACGCAGACTTGATCGTGGTGATTCAGAATGGCAAGGTCAAGGAGCATGGCACCCACCAGCAGCTGCTGGCACAAAAAGGCATCTATTTCTCCATGGTCCAGGCTGGAGCAAAGAGCTCGTGAACTGTGACTACTTGAAATGCTAAGTATTTTTAATATTGGTGCTTCAATATGCCACTTAACCAAAGTTTAAAAGGGTGAACACTGTTGAAGGTAATTTCATCATGATGTCAGTCTTCAGAAACTTCGTAATTTAATTAATCAAAATTGAAAAATGTCATTGAGTGGGTGGAGACAGTGTTTTTAATTGCATTATGTGAGCCATAAAAGAACTTAAAGAATTTTTAAAAACAAAATGTGCAATTTTGTTTCTGGTTTTTAATTTCAGCCCTACTTTGTTAAATGATTATAAAGATTTAAGAAATACTGAAATATTCCATAAAGTGCCTATAAAAACTAAGTTTTCATATACCTGGATCACCTTGTCTGTCCTGTGTCTGAATTTATATATTCTTCCAAATAGGATACTATAAATAATTTCAGCTTTCAGAAAGAGGATTTTAAGAACCTGTCCATTTTCTGTGGATGGTTAAGTGATTTAAGTAATTTCCATTCGGGATGTCTTTTCACATGGTGCCAAACAAAGCTACCTGTTTAACTGCTTCCTGGGTTTGGTCTGCTGGATTTTATATTGCCATTACTGGTAGATTTTGAGCCCAGTGCACAGAGCAGGAGATGATTGTGGGAATTGGAGGTAAGTATAGTATGAAGTATGAATTGTTCAAGAGTAACTTAACTTTTATAATAAGCTCTTCGATGACTCTTATAATTTTGTAAATTTAATTACTCTTTGATAACACTGTTCCCAGTTATTGGTCTCTTCCAAAGCTGACCTTCCTGATCAGAGATGTTTAAAATATGCTATGATTTTCAGTCCATCATGATACAAACATGAAAGCAAGAAGATATCACAAAATGTTTAGCCCTAACAAAGTATAAATGCAAGTGAGAATCACAAGCTCTAGGGCCATATTTATAGGTAATTGGCATCTTTAATATATAAAATGCTCATATAAAGAAAAAAATCTGGGACTGGGGAAATAGCTCAGTGGTTAAGAGCACTGACTGTTCTTCCAAAGCTCATGAGTTCAATTCCCAGCAAGCACATGGTGGCTCACAACCATCTCTAATGAGATCTGGTGCCCTCTTCTGGCCTGAAGGCGTACATGCAGATAGAGCACTGTATACATAATAAATAAATCTTTAAAAAGAAAGAAAGAAAGAAATCTGTGAGCAAATGAAATGATATGATCAAGTCATTCCCAATGTTAAGTGCATGACAAAAAACATACAATTTCAAAAACAAAAAATTGCAAGTTAAAGTAGCTGACTTGCTTAGTAACTTCCTGGTAAATAGAAGGTATCTTTTCTATGACACTTGTAATTCTCTAGGTCACTTATCAAAACTTATATATTAACAACATAACATATGTTTTTAATAAGAATATGTGTAAGGCATACAGTTTTTTTACCCACCGCCCAGTCTTGTCCCACCGCTGCACCAGCCCCAAATAACACACTGAGACTCTGTATTAGATATAATTCTGTTGGCCTGATTACTTGTTACTTATCGGCTAGCTCTGCCTTAATTATTAATCCATTTCTGCTGATCTATGTATTTCTCTTACCGGGGAGCCGGCCGGCATACTGCTTTCTCTCCTTACTACTTCCTTTTTCCTCCTTATCTCCTAGCTCCTCCTATCTTCCTTTCCTATTGGCCAACAGTGCTTTATTCATTAACCAGCATGAGAAACATTTATAGAATGACATCTCCCATCATTTCCTCTTTTCTGTCTAAATAAAAAGAAGGGTTTTAACCTTAACATAGCAAAATATATAACACAACAATTATCAAATAAGAATCACAGTTAACAATATTTAGTCCATTAATATTTAACAAGATTTAAGAAAATATTCCATCATCTATCCTATCTTTGTGTGTCTAAAGTCTATGTAACTTATCTTTAATACTAAGGAAAACTATAACCATAACTATCTGTCTTCAACTCCTTCAAAGACCACAGAAGGATAGTCTATAAACTCTAGAAATGACAGAGACAACTCACTGCCTGGTCACCCGAAGTTCTTTTGTAATCTTCCATCTTCAGCCCATAGGCCATAGTGTGTCTGGCAGACTCTTCAGCAAAGCAGGAAACTTTAAACTGTCTTCTTGTATTGGCAGTTTGTCAGTCACTTTTCTCTGTGTCCTGCAGACTGTCTGGCAGACTCTTCCATGAAGCAGGAACTCTATAGCAATGTCCATCTTGAATCAGCAGTCACTTTTCTGTGGGTCCTGCATGTCCAGTTTATACGGCATAAAGTCAAACAGTCCAGACAAGAGCAGTATCTTGTCCAAATGGCTAGTCTTGCCATATTGGAAGCAACTTTATAATGCATTTCTTCGATGTCCATCTTCCATCTTCCTTTCTGGTTCAGGTGGTGTTGCCAGGAGCATTTATGTCTCACTGTCAAGAAAAACCCTAAACCATTTTAAATGCCATATTCTGTAGGTCTTTGAAAGATTTGAAGAATTCCTGTCTATCTTAAATACATCTCTGTGTATCTTTAAAAACCTAACTAAACTCTAAGCTTTGACTATCATAGGTAATTATCTATAATCTGTACTACATTATACATTACATTTCTAAATGAGCTATAAAAACACAATACCTAAACAAAAGGAGACTATACACATCAAAAAATTGACCTTAAATTGTATCAATAAATGAAAATCCATTCCATAACAAAGTATTTATATCTATACCATAATCCCCTTTTTACCTTTAAAAAGAATATTGGTTGTGATCATTAACCATTTATAATCAAGCCCATTTAAATGAAAACAAACATTTATAAATAATATTTGGGAATTTGGGCGTCGTTCTTTCCAAACTACTTCCTGCTGACAGGGGGCGCTGTCATGGGGATCCTAAGAGGATGCAGAAATCCTGGTTGTAGTCTGCGAGGCTGCTTTGAATGTTGAATGTTGGATCACCAGCGACTCTGTTTCAGGGGGCCTGTCTTGATCAAACCACATTAATCTGGAAGGAATCCACAGCTTTTTATATTCTGTGGAAAGAAAAATAGAAATCCTTTTTCCCAGTAACTTGTTCTTAGACTTAAATTTTTGAGTCAAAGCATTTTTAAAATATATAAATTGAATTAATCCAGCAGCATTTGTTTTAACAGTTGTTGTTTCCTCAGCAGTCAAACAATACAAAGACAATATAACACCATACAGTAACCAGATTCTCTCTGAGCTTTTCATCTTTACGTGGCTTTATTATTACTCTGTTTATTTTACTTTTTATTTTTTGAGACAGGGTTTCTCTGTGTAACTTTTATCTGTCCTGGAATTCATTCTGCATACCAGGTTTACTTTGCAAATCACAGAGATCTGCTTGCCTCTGTCTCTCAAGATCTGAGATTAAAGGTGTGTGCCACCACACCCAGTTCCTCTTTGTCTTTTTAAACCCATTTTATTTTTTCCATGTCTCCTTATTTTAAAACACACTGTAAACCTTTAGATTCTTAATATGAATCTGTCTTTACTGTAAATTTTTATCTTTTTCTGGCCACGAGTCTTTTATCTGGTAAACAACAACATTGCTGAAATGAAAGTCATAGTTGTTTCTGCTGCGGATTACCAAAGATGGTGATGGGTACTTTTACCACCAGCACTGAAAGCTGTGCCCACTGCCTTGGTCTGCGCTACCATCTAGCAAGCATTCTGCCGGCGTGGAGATGTGATCAATGCCATTGCCAACTCTCCGACACAATAAATTGTTAGCAGTGCTTTTTTAAAGCCGTGCAGTTTTTTTTCGCTTATGCGAGTCAGGAAATTTCCCTTAAAGGAGCCGCGCAAATATCTGCTTGTCTCTCGCAAATCAGAGTCCAACCGAGAAAAATGCTGCTACCAAGAAACCTTGCTTATCTCTGTTCTTTTGTTTCTAAAACACTTTTTTAAGCTTTTGTTAAATTTTAAGTGGAAGTTCTTTACTAGCCACATGGGCGCCATCTGTAAGGCGTACAGTTTTTCCACCCGCTGCCCAGTCTTGTCCCGCCGCCGCGCCAGCCCCAAATAACACACTGAGACTCTGTATTAGACATAATTCTGTTGGCCCGGTTACTTGTTTCTTATCGGCTAGCTCTGCCTTAATTATTAACCCATTTCTGCTGATCTATGTATTTCTCTTACCGGGGAGCCGGCCGGCATACTGCTTTCTCCCGACTCTCCTTACTACTTCCTTTTTCCTCCTTATCTCCTAGCCCCTCCTATCTTTCTTTCCTATTGGCCAACAGTGCTTTATTCATTAACCAGCATGAGAAACATTTACAGAATGACATCTCCAATCACATATGCTCCCAACATAGAGACATCAATTTTTGAAATTTAGTTTACAGATACATAAAATGATGCTGTTGAACCATTGTCTTCAAATTAAAAATTGTAGTGCTTTGATGTTAACAGCAGTTGAGCATTTGAGGTAGGAGGATCATGAGTCTAAGGCCATCTTGGCTGTAGAGTAACTTCAAGTCTGGAATACAATAAGACTCTGCATCAAAGAAACTGGGAAAGAAGTCTGTTTATCTACATAGAGGACTTTTTTAAAGGGAAATAAAAAACTTTAAGTTTTCATTGTAGGTACAAGTATGTAATCTTCTGCAAAGCTAAATTGGAGAGCAGGCCAGATAGACAAACGGTGCCTAAAAATTGCCTCGCTCCCACAGAGACCTGGAATAACAGCCCAGAGAGTAGGAGAAAGCTTGCCAACACATGTATTCCTTGTTCTCCAGCTGAGGCTCCACATCAGGGAAGAGGGGTGTATGAGAGTCCCAGAGAGCCCATAGCTGGGGACAGCAGCAACTTCCCCCACCTCAGCAGGGACAGGTTGGCAGCCAGGTTCTGAAAGCTTCCTGGGGTCTGCACTGTGATTGTTCCAGAAGGGGAGCTCACATTGTTTTGTTAGGTAGGTTAGCCAAAGAACTAACCAAAGAGCACCCACTGCCCCCTTGTCCCCAGAACATGAAGAAGAGTAAGTGGCTGCAGTCACCAGGTGGGGACTCCCAGAGCGAGATAAACTGTTGCTTGGTGAAGATTGACAAAGACAGTAGGCAGTGGTGAAGGGAGAGCTGGCTTGGCAGGAACTTCGGCCTCAGAGGAGCATGATCCTCTGCTCCCTAGTGGATTTTCTTTAACTTTAGGGGGTGCTTAAATCCCTCTATCAATCTTATAAATCAATGTATAACAGACTGAATTCTGAGTAAAATGCACTTCCTCTCCTGAAGTGTCCACCCTGAGGGGGAGATGAAGGGAAGGGACATCAAGAAGAGGAGATAAGCAAGCCTGATAGGATCAAGGCCATTGCTGTTCTGCTCAGCCCACTTCTAAGGGAAGTA